CTCGACATTCAAGGCGGACTTCAGATTTATACTTTTGTGGTGGTTGTGAAAGGAGATTTTTGTCAAAATCCCAGAGGCCAAAATAAGCGCTTTTTTCCTTCCTTCCCTGGCTTTTGTCGAGGTATTTTATCACAGTGGCAGATAAGTGACTAAGAGGACAAGGCTGTACAGACAGACCGTTCTCCAGAGGTGCGAGTGTTTCCTAACCCCTGCAGTGTCTCTGGGGATTGAACTATGTGAGCCTCAGGCACGTTCTTTTAACAGCTCCACAGCAGAATCACCATTGGAGAAACGGAGGAATAAGACTTTGCTTATACCTAAGGCTGATCACACTGTTATTGCCAAGGGCTGCTAGTGCCAATGAACCCCTGCTTCGTGTAAGTGACTGAGATGCTACTAAGGATGATAACTATAGCATGTTTACTTATTTACTTCTAATTAACATGGACCACTTACCAGAGCTGTTAGGCACTCAGCAGAACTCCTGGACTATGTATTTACTTCCAGTTTAACTCAATGTTCTGTTTCCAGAACACAGCCATGTCACCAAGGTTAAGAAATAAACTGACCTGAATAAGCAGGAGAAAAATCCTTCGACCCTTTTGTTTGGCCATTTCATATCCATAAAGCACCTACTATGTGATGAGCATCAAACAACCTGTCCTACGATTCACAGTGTGCACCCACTAGGAAAAGAGCCTGTTCAAGGGATCCTGTCCATCCACTTAAATTAGGGCTGGGTTGTGGTGGGTGCCAGCTCAGTGTGTGTGAGGCCCTGGGTTCCATCTCCATAACTGCAGAAATAAAAATGAAACAAAATAAAGCTCAGAGAATTTAGGCTACAAGGGAAGAATTAGTCAGTTTCTCCAGAGCACTGGGGTTGGATTCTGGGGTCCACAATTCTTTCTGTCACTCATTCAGAGGATCTAGTGTGACATTTGTTTGCACGTGCGTATTGTGTGATAATTAAAGCAGGGCCATCAATTGCGCTGCTTATCATTTCTTTGTGAGAACATGGGCAGAGGCAGAGGGTTGGGGGCGCCCTAACGGGAACGAGGAGGGCATTCAGGGTAAAGAGCTTCAAGGGCAAAGATGCAGGCGCGTGAACACTCCTGAGCACTGCAGAACTGCAGCTCTGGCTGGAGAAGTTGGGTGCCGATGACACTCTCTGTCAGACACCTGCCTTGCGAAGGTGGAAGTGATTCTTTTAGCTGCTGCCGATCACGCCCGGAATTTACACCATGCGCCAGTGTGACTGCATTTATAGAATGCCTTGTGATAAAGACTCTCTTAGATGCTGTCTGATTGCCCCTTGCTCTTGCTAACCCCGAGGGTGAGAAAAATCAAAGCCACGACCTTCATTTGGCGTGCAGCAGAGAAATCTGATTTGATATTTTTCCGTGTCAACCTCCTTTTAAAAGTCCCACGGCAAGTCACAGAACCGGTGTAAGAACCCGAGTCCTCCAGATCCTTGCCCCCATAATTGCCCATGCGTGCATATGTTTTCTTTCTAGAGGTGGTATGCACACCCAATGCCTGTCCTCTTCCTGTTTAGTATAAAATAGTCTCTCTCCCCCAGAATAGTCTTACTTCCCATCTTTCACAAATGTCAACTATTCAGTTGAAGAACCACTGGGAAAGTGTTAGGCTTCAGCTTTTCAATAGTGTGGACAGTATTGTGCATAGATCATATGCAGCCATTGTGCGTAGATCATATTCCTCCGCCGGTGTGTTTTCTTTCATTTCAGAGATTCCTACTCTCAAGTTTTCCCTTCTTTCTCTCCCATTCATTTCACAGAGGCATTTTAGTATGCATTAAAGAATTCTTTTGAGGTTATAATTTGATTACATTTCTCTCTTCCTTTTCCTCCCTCTGAGCCCTCCCATATTCATCTCCCCACTCTCCTTCAAATTTATGCCCTCTTTTTAAACTGATTATTATTTCATGATGAATTATGAAATAATTCATTAATTTCTTTTCTCAAATAGTATGTCCTGAAAACAGTTCCCCCTCCCTCTACTCCTCCCAGTTCCTCTGACCTCCCTTCCCATCTTGGTCTACCCCCTTTCCTGTCATTAGAAAGCAAACAGGCTTCTGAGGGATAATAATAAAACCAGATAAAACAAAAACTAACATCTCGGAATAGGACAAACCAAGCAAATTGAAGGAAAAGAGCTCAAGAGAAGCCACAAGAAACAGATATAGTCTCAGAGACCCATTTGGGCACACACTCAGAATCCCACAAAAACACTAACAGATAGACACAGAGACCCACTCGGGCACACACTCAGAATCCCACAAAAACACTAACAGATAGACACAGAGACCCACTCGGGCACACCCTCAGAATCCCACAAAAACACTAACATATATGTGATGGATCTGTAGGGTAGAAAGAGAGAAAAAACATATATATATATATGCATATTTAAATAAAAATAAAACATAAGATAAAATTTTAAAAAATCCCTGGTGTGACATTGTAAGACAAGGAACCTCCTCCAAACATGCCCTTGAGTTCACTCTCTGCTGGCCATCTCCTGCTGGGCATGGGGCCTACCCTCAAGAGGACTTTGTTTCTCCAGTGAGACTTCCTTGAGAAAACTAAATTTCCATGTGCAGGTGGTTGTCAATTGGAGATTGCTTCTGGGTAGGGATGGGGCATGTGTCGGATTTTCCTTCCAGCTCCCTAGGGCACCATCTGGTACAGGTTCATGCGGGTCCTGTGCATCAGCACCTTGTGCATCAGCACCCTGTGCGTCAGCACGAATTTTTAACCCTTTCGCCTTCTTTGGGTAGCAACCTCAGCAATGCATCAGTCCAAACACTTCTTTTTTTTTTTTTTTTTGACTGATAAGCTTCATTTATGTTGCAATATAAACTTAACGAAGTCTTTACAAAAATGTCCATCTTTAACATCTTTGTAAACACAAGTGAGTCAGATCCAAACTTTAACATTGTACTGATAGGAATGATTTAACTCAGATAAAGGCCAATCTAGAAGATTCACACGAGAAAAAATGCTCTTGGTCTTAAATTCTTCACCAGGTATAAGCCTTTCATCCATCCCGCCGAAAGGCAGAGCTTTGTCCCCTTCCCTTGTGATCTTTTGAAGTAGCCATGCATCCTGTGAGTCCCCAGTGAAATGGCTTTCTCAGAAGCAGCTTTTACAGCCTGCCTGCCTTCGCCTCCTTGCTCCTGGTACTTCTTGAGAGTGCTTTGCTGCTGTTTAAGCTGCTTTTTTTTTTTTTTTTAAAGCTTGTTTTTTTTTTTTTTTTTTTTTTGGGTTTTTCGAGACAGGGTTTCTCTGTGTAGCTTTGCGCCTTTCCTGGATCTTGCACTGTAGACCAGGCTGGCCTCGAACTCACAGAGATCCGCCTGGCTCTGCCTCCCAAGTGCTGGGATTAAAGGCGTGTGCCACCACTGCCTGGCTAAAGCTTGTTTTTAAGTTTGACTTTGCTTGATTTTATTAACTGGTAAAAGCTTGGGACCAGTTTTTTTTTTTTTTTTTTTTTTTTTTTTTTATTGCTTCTGGCCTTCATTCTTAGGCTGTAGGAAGCCTGGTCTGCCAGATTCTCCAGGGGCAAGGGTCCCGTGGAAGTGCTGGAAAGCGCCAGTCCAAGAGCATCCATACAGTAAGAACCACAGAACTGTAGCCTAAATCTTAGGAGGGTGGCACCCAGGCTGTGGGAAAGTTTGACACACCCTGTACGAGCCCAAGAAGTCCCTCAAACCTGAAAGTCTGGCCCTCTCTAAGTTGTTTCCTTCTTCTTGTTGTTACTTTCTTTCTCTCTTTTTGATCTTGCATCATCAACATATATTTCCTCATAACTCATGCCCAAGGTCTTCATTGTCCCATTTAGGAACCAGACACTGGACAAGCGCTTCTTCCCCCCTCAGTGTGTGAGGCTGCGGTTGTGTCTGCGTTTCCTCCTACTCAGCATTGATCTTTAAACAGCCCCTCCCCTGTAAGAGCCTTTTGTTGAGGCGTGGGAGTACCACCTGACCCAGCAATCTCACTCCTGGGTCTTCACGGTGGGGAAGCCTTCACACAGCGAATATGCAGCATTCTTTCCCCAAAATGCCATGTGAGGTAACGTATGAGTTAACTAGCCATTTAGTCAGGCCATAGTGTTTACGTCAAAATAGCAAGTTGCCCACAGCAAATACATAGTTTTATCTATCAATGTAAAAGGTAAAGCTAAAGCCGGGTGGTGGTGGTCCACGCCTTTAATCCCAGCACTCGGGAGGCAGAGCCAGGAGGAGCTCTGTGAGTTCAAGGCCAGCCTGGTCTACAGAGCGAGATCCAGGGCAGGAACCAAACTACACGGAGAAACCTTGTCTCAAACCGCCCCCCTCCAAAGTAAAGCTAAAATAAGCTACTGGGGTTGATAATGAATATGCAAATATGTGATACAAAATGCTAAGTAATTATTTTGACATATCTATTCCAATTGTTTTCAAATTTCTAATTTTGCCATTGACCAGGGGAAATTCCTCAAAATGTATTTCTTTCCTTGATAGCTACCAAATTCATTTTGATAAGGATCAAGTGGTAGTTACTCCTTGAGGAGTGAAAATGGGATTTGGGAAGCAGAATCAAGGGAGCCTCATCTGTGTCTGTCAAAGTCAACATTCTGTAGAACCCAGTGTACGCCCAGCATGCTCATCTGCGTTCAGAATGTCCTGTAACTTAAAAGTAGGGAAATGCTGTTCTTTGAAATACCTTTTTAAAAAGTCTCAGCATGACAGACAATGCCCTTTCCCAGTCTGTCTTCATTTGTCACCTTAAAGATGGGTCTCCTGGGTTTTCCTCTTCAAGAGTGTAATAACTGTAACAAAATGTAAGTGGTCTGTTCTGTTCTGGAAGGCAGCCCCTGGTTCCGGGATGAAGCCCTGCCTAGCGGAGTTGCTGAGCTAAATCAGCCCTCCTGTAGTAGTCTGTATTCGCGAGATGAGCCAGTGATGATCTGAGTTTGTTCTGGTTTTACAAACGCAGGAGAATCTCTGCCAAAACTCACCATCAGGCCGTTAACTTCAACATCTTCGAGGGCATGGTTTGCCACGGGGTGCCCCTGGTGACTATTTCACGAGGCAGAGTGGTGTATGAAGCAGGTGTTTTCAATGTCGCAGCGGGAGATGGGAAGTATATTCCACGCAAACCATTTGCTGAATCCGTCTACAAGAGAATCAAGCAGCGAGACCAGGTGAGCCCCCCCGCAGTGACCAGTGCCGTTTCGCCGCCCTGGGTGTTAGGTTTGTTGTTTATTGCTCATGGTGGTGGCATCGTGTCACAGTGGGTTCAACATGCTCCTGGGGCATCAAGATTGACCAGAGAGCACAGGCACACCCCAGCTGTCAATCAAAGAACTTCCAGTTACATGTTTGCAGACGTCTCTCATAGTTTTCTTGACTTTTTTTTCTTTTCCCCATGATAGGGACCTATTCACCATTTGGTAGTCAGGGTCTTCCAAGAGCCAGGCCAGAGGGATCAAGGCGCTGGTTGGGGGATGGTTGGAGATACCTGTGAGAGAGAGGAAAAAGGAGCTGGGAAACACTGAGAGCCAAGAATGTGATTCAAGAATGACCTGAGAGAGGAAAGAGGACAGGAAAGAGGGGGGCACATTCTAGATGGCTGGAGTTCAGACCAGGCTGGGCTCTGGTTAGGGGGAACCTTTGAGCCACCTCTGAGCGTCCTACCCAGTCATTGGCTGGGAGCTGCCGTGGGAGGCATGGCCTGTCGGCACACCACTGGGGATCTTAACTCAGCCACTATGCTTGAGGAATTGTGCTCCCTTTAGCTAAAAGTCTGCAAGGTGCTTTCTCAGGGTGACCACCAGAGGTGGACTTTGGGGAAGGGGGATCTGAATATGAACACTCCACATTGCCCAGCGGTATGGCCAGAGCAGGTTCCTTGTCGTCTCTGGGCTCTGCTTCCTCACCTGAAAATTAAACATTTCTATCCTCAAATTAGATTTTTAAATGTCAGAATTAATATATGTCAGTCCTGTCTCTTTGCTTTCCCATAACTGATTCTGTAATGAAGGCTCACAATCTTTGTAACAACTCAGTGGTAAAAAAAAAAAAAAAAAAAGAGTTTTTTTTTTCTTTTGGTTTTTTGAGACAAGGCTTCTCTGTGTAGCTTTGGAGCCTGTCCTAGAACTCGCTCTGTAGACCAGGCTGGCCTCGAACTCCCTGAAATCCGCCTGGCTCTGCCTCCCGAGTGCTAGGATTAAAGGCGTGCACCACCACTGCCTGGCTGAGGTATTTGTTTTTAATTTATTTTCATGTTTCATTTGTGCAAAATTTTAAATTTCACCAAATGCACTAAAATATTGAAAAAAACCCCAAGTTTAGATGAAAAAGTTTAGAATTCTGTAGTTTGAGGGTGGGCAGGCAAGCCTGTCCTCTCCGTTTGCACTAACAGTCTCCCGAGCCGCCTGACTGGTCCCATGGAGCGTTCCCTCCTGCTCCCTGGCAGGCTTCACTCATGCTTGCCCCACAGGGCCTCTGTAACCCCTGGACTCCTTCCGGAACTCACCCCTCTTTCCACTTTTCAAATGTGTACCCCTCCCCAGAGTTCTGTAGCTGTTTTTAATTCATTTCACTTAGTTCTTATAGCCTCTTTGGTTTCTGTGTAACATCTTGGGGATTTGTTTCATTTGCAGATTCCCAGAGTCCATTACACAAAATACCGCCACTTTTCAAATCATTTCCTAAGGTTTTGCTTAGGCGAACTCATGCTCTTAAATACTTTAAATTCCTCCCAAATGCCACAAGTCTATTCTTATCTTCCCCCTTTCCTTTTTTCCTCCCGTGCTGGGTGACACCTAGGACAGATCCTCTAAGGCCTACCTTTTCCCGCTGAGCCACAGCCTGGCCCTACAGTTCTCTGTCCACTGTCTCTCAGTCAACAGAGATGACGTTTAGGATGGTGCTGAGTTTGCTGCGGGGTTAATTTAGAAACGTTGACACTGACAGGTGACAGGGAGTAGCTGCAGGGATCCCAGGTGCTTCTGCTGGTCTGTGCAGTGAGGAGAATCCCTTCCGTCACTTGATGAGCGCTCCTGAAGGCAAACCACGCGCTAAGGACTGACCGTGACAGACAGACAGTGAGGCAAAGGCAGAGATGTCCCTCATTTTGAACATTAGAAAACCGAATAGTCCAGGAACCAAGAGGCTTGCTCGGGGCTTGGAGGGAAGTCGCAGCCTCTGAGAGCATGTGCTGATCTTTTAGAGGACCCAGGTTCTGTTCCCAGCAGTCTCATCGGGTGGCCGATGACCTCCCGCACCTTCAACTGTAAGGGATCCGATACCTTCTTCTAGCTTCCACCCATGTGACGCACACATGAAGACAACAACAAACGCCTTTAGAAACAAATACTGACTGGGGCTTGAGAGGTGGCTCTGCAGATAAGAGCACTGATCGCTCTTTTGGAAGACCCTGGTTCAGGGTTTTAGGCCCAGCACCTACATGGTGGCCCATAACCAACTATAACTCCAGTTCCAAGGGATCTGATACACTCTACTGGCCTTCCTGGGTACCAGGGGTAGCACACAGACATACATGGAGGCAAAACATTTATGCACATAAATCATTTAAAAAAAATTTTAAGTACAAAATAAAAGATTATGAATCTAAAGGGAAGTGGAGGTGATTTTTTTTAAAAATTATTATTTTGGAATATAGGTAGCTAATCTTGCCCAGAACTTTTAAAATAAGAAGATGAGACATTAAAAAAAATACTTAAATTTTGCATGGAAAGCCATCCAAGGAAGAGCCCTGACAGGAAGGAAGGGGAAAGGAAAGAAATAAAGGGAAAAGACAAAAGGAATAGAAACTTAGGTATCTCCAGTCTCCTGAATGAACAGACTCCATGTTATTAATTCCTTACCAAACACAAAGAAAGCTCTTTGATTTCAAATGGATTCTGTCCCTGGAAGTTTTGTGTATTTAGAGTATTATGATTTTCAACCAAAATTGAAAATATGAGCCTTCCCTAAGCTCTTCTCAAGCCGTTTTCTCTCTTCGGTATTAAGCCACTGCCACCTTTCCTGGAGAACACGGTCACATTGCACTTTACAGAGAAACCAGAACAGCTTCCTGCCGAAATATATGACTTCAGAATACTGCTGCCAAAGCTTTTAAACTGCCTTGTATCTTTGCAGCGATGAGCATAATTTTCCTTCTAGATAAGAAAAAAAAATCGAGTGGATGACTGACTCAGTCCTTGAAATGGATATTTTCCATTCCCAACATCACAGTTTGTCAACGCCCTTCTCAAGGTGGCAGTGTGAGAAAGGCATTTAATTCATGTCGCCAACTGCCACGCAGTCCTGATTCACTGGACTGATGGCGAATAACCAGCAAGGGCGAGGCTTACACTGGAGCGGGCTCTTGGGCCTGAAAGAGACACTTGGTGCGTCTCTGTCCAAGTCCTCGGTCACGTCAGTTCGGACGCTCGAAAGCAGACGTAAGGGCACATTTGCATCGGAGAAATAGGCAAGGGCTACATCGGCGTGTTAGGGACAGGAGAAAAGAAAAGGGCTTGCTCTCACTCTTCGCCAGACCACTGCTGCAGGAAAGCTGCTTTCCCTGAGACCTAAGATGTTCCAAAATCTGAAACACCAGGAAATTTCAAATGCCAAATTTTATCGCTAGGACGGCCCAACCCAAACACTTCAAAAATATAAAAGATGTCTCGTCTCAAGTGTTTTGAGGGGCACTCAACCTGTGTCTTTCTTTGCTTTATCTAACCATTCAACATTATTCAGCCAGTCATATTTATTGACCACCAATTAGGTGTCCTAGTTAAATTCTTACAACCCTGGAGAGATGTGGTGGTGGTCCTATTTTAGAGATTAAGAAACTGAGGCTCATGGTAAATCACATTAATCATTAAGTTTCAAAACTATTCTGTGCGTAGCCCCCCCCCCCCAAGATGGGTTCTCAGTCATCCCCCTGCAGTGTGTAGGGTCTCACTCCCCCTTCTTTTGACAAACGTAACAGAAGAGTCAGCCCCAAGTAAGAGCGTTCAACATTGTTGCACTGTCCTTGGGCAATGCTCGAAACATATTTTAAGAATGATAGCACACATATGTCATTGTCGAGCCCTCTCCCTTCTGTTGAACCCAGGAGCTGCTCACATTGTGGTGACTCACTGGGAACCCCTGGGTAGCTCAGGTTAACGTGTCCAAATGCCCTCTGACTTCACCAGGGGCAGGCTGGATTTCATCCTCAGGGTGCTGTCATTCATTTTGTCTGCTACAGGTCAGGCCACTATGGGCTGCTTGGCATTTGGAGTTTCTGCTGTTTTTATGGATATTTGAGTGTCTTGGTCCCCATGGATGACATGGTATCAGTTATTCCATTCAGGTCTAGGGAGGCTTCTCTATTGTTCCTATTGTTCTCTATTGTTCAGAAATTCTAGCATCTCCCATTCCACCCTCAGTAAAAAATACAATTTACATGCTCCTCTTCCCCTGATCAACTAACCAAAAAGCATTTCTGTAATTATGTAGATATAATGATGATTGCAATTAATGTTTATTCATAGCACTGCATATAATTCTCATTTTGGTCTTTCTATTAACACATCACAATGACAATCATAATTAAATATGATGAACTGAAACTGAACTCTCATCTGCTAAAGTAATCCACCCATATTCTGTCAAGTGAGGGGCTATTTTTGCTTTCTGCCATTTAGGACACCCTTTCACGTGTATTTACTTTCAAGCCATCTTATTTGATGATAGTACTGCTGAGATGTAAACCACTGATGCTGAGTGTGATTGCCAAATCTTGACTAGGGTGTACTGGAGAGAGGGTGCACAGGCGTGATCCATACCTGATGTGTCCTCAGGTCCCCAGTGTCTTGAGCTGTAACTTGAGGAAGTTGATGAATAATTTTAAGTGATGTTGCTTTCAACAGAATGATAAAAAGTTCCCGGAAGTCCAATAACCGAGCACCCTCGATTTGTTTCACAAATATTTGTTGACCCTCAGGCATGATTCAAGGTGCTAGGATACAGGGGCCAGTAAGCCAGCGGTCACCGACGCCAGAGGGCTCGCATCCTGCCTCTTGCAGCCCCAGCTCCTCCTGTGTGCATAAGTCTTTGTTCACGACCCACTTTTCCACACCTCCCTGCTGCGGTTTTCCAGGGGTTTTTATCAGGGAATATGCAACCGAAGAGAGAAAGCCTGGAGAGCAGGGGAAGAGTCATCAAATAAAGATTTAAATTCCCAAGTCCAGGGTCACCAAGGCGACTGTCAGACAGAGAGAAAATAGGGCTCCTACGGGTCCTGAGGGACCCCAAACCTTCAGAGATCAAGGCTAAGAGAAAACATCGAGGGAGCTGGAGAAAGTTGGCCAACGAGGCAGAGCAAATGAGAACACGATTCCCTAGAGCAGGAGTTTAAACCCACTTTCTATGTTCAGCCCAGATCATCTCTCCTCATATGTTTTATGCTGCATTAAAAATCTGCTGAGAATTAAGTATGATAGCATTCTTTTAGTTGGAGAAACTGGGATGGGTTCTGTGAGCCAATAGCATAATCTCTGAACATTGGTCCCTGGTGCTGCTGGAACTGGGGTCCATATTACGCTGGTATTTCATGTTTCACGTGGAAATTTGTCGCTGTCATTAGAGGAAAGACTCAAGACTCAATTTCCTAAGAGTGGTAGGTTGCGTTTACTTGGAAAACAAATGTTCACCTAGACTTCTGATCAATAGCATTGACGGTGCCGCAGGGCGAGTGCCATTTTGTCACAGTGAATGAATGTCCTTTGAGGCTCTAAGATGCACATGAAGTAGGATGTCAAGGTAGGAGATAGCAGAGAGGAATATGATTTGAGTCTAGTCAGGACAGAGCTTACACAACCCACCTCTAAGGAAAGGAAAATGTCAAAAGGTTAAAAGTTCTGGGAAGCGTGAGGCTAGACCTTCACTACCATAGATTCCTGCAAAAGCCTGAATTGAGATTTCTGCTGTGGGCCCTGAGTCTGCAGCTGGGATCCAGGGAAGGGATCTTTAGGCAGCTGACCAGCCTGTAGGACACTGGTTCTCAGGCTGTGGGTCCCGGCCACCTTGGGGGAGGGCACCGAATGACCCTTTCACGGGGGCCACCTAAGAACACGGAAAACCACAGATATTTACATTATGGTTTATCACAGTAACCAAATTACAGTCATGATGTAGCAGTGAAAATAATTTAATGATGTGGGGGGGTGGGGTGGTGTCACCACACCACGAGGAACTGTATTAGAGGTCACAGCATTAGGAAGGTTGAGAAGCACTGCTGTAGGACAAGCCCACTGGGAATGAGGAGACCCCCCCTACACACACACTTGGCCTGATCATTGGTGTTGTGGTCTGTTCCGGAGGTGCTTAGGACAGACAGGAAGGTTACAACTGAGCACAGTTGTAAGTAGTTAAGGTCCAGGAACTTCTGTAGAAAGAGGTAGATGGAGCAGAGGCTGGGGAGGGCCAGGTTGCACTCAGATACATGCACAAACGTCTGCCCACTTATGTTAGTTTCCCTAGAACACTCACTGAAATAGACCATGCGAGCGGAACAGAGAGAAAGGCAAGACCTGGAAGTAGGAGGCAGGAGAGGGAGAAAAGAGGGTATGGGGAAAATTCCTGGTTTGTCTGCAGGGCCTGGGTTATGGCTGTTTGGTGTTGGGTACCCTTTCCACTTTGTCCTGCTTTGGGTGATATCTACATAGGCATCAGTGACACATCATACAGCCTAGCTTGACAATAGAGCCACCTGAGGGAGAGAGCGGTGTGCAGATAAAGACCTGGGATGGAGGATATAATCAGACACCACGGGGCTAGATGAGTTTAAAGTCTCAGATGTGACCAGAGCATCACTTGCATGGCACCTATGGGAGATTGACACTGTCTGGATGTCTCAAAATGATGACAGGACCAGGGTGAAGGAAAGCTATGATGGGGATCCAGCAAAGCCTCTGACAGACCTAGAGAGGGCAGAGGCACAGCCTGGTGCTCAGAACCCAAGCTGTCTGTGCCCTGCTCTGTGAATGGGTGAAGAAAATGCATGGCCTCTGGAACTTCTCATGTTTCTGAGAGATGGTTTATTTACCATTCATGGGTAAGGATGCAGACCCAGGGGCGTTTATTAACTTGTCAGTTCTCTACAAATAATGAGAGAAAGAGAAAGTTCCAACTTCGATCTGGTCCACCTCAAAGTCCACACTATTGGTCATTACAGTATATTAGTTTGCATCACCAATGTGGCATCCATAATAATTGGTGTGCTTATGTGTGTCTTTGCATATTATCATATTGACTGAGAGCATATTCCGTGTTAGGCACTATTCTGCGTGCTTTATGTTTAACCCTCCTAACAGCCCTACAGTGTAGTACAGTCTTTCACACCAGCTAGTGCTAGGGGAGCTGAAGCAAGTTAAGAGCACTGGCTGTTCTTCCAGGGGACCTGGGTTCAATTCCTAGCACCCACATGGCAGTTCACAACCATTTGTAAATCCAACTCTAGAGCTTACAAAGCCTTCTTCTGGACTCTATGGGCACTACATGTATATGGTGCACAGACATACATCCAGGCAAAACACGCATACACATAAAATAATAAATTTTTGTATATTTTATAAAATATAATAGGGATTTTTTTAAATACCACTTTGTTAAAGAAGGAAGAAAAGACAGAATGAGAAAACAAGCTATAAGGAATGGTGTGAAGTTACAAGAGTGTGAGACCAGATGGAACATTTCCTGGCTCTCTTTCTTTCTTTTTTCCAGGAATTTATTTTTTTTTCGCTTGTGTATATGGGTGCTTGAATGTGTGTGGACACATGTATGTGTGTGTGAACATGTCATTCACATTGAGACCCAAAGTCTACATCTTGTGTCTTCCTCCCCGTACTCTTTCATTCTTATTTAATGAGGGAGGATCTCTCAATTGAACCCAGAACTCACAGATCAACTGGTCTAGCTGGCCAGCTTGGCCTGGAGAATGGTTGTCTCTGCCTCCCTAGAGCCAAGGGTAAGAACGTAGGATGCATATGATAGACCCATAGGTTATTGCTCTCACAGTTCATAAAAGGAGCTGCAGCTAACTTGGGCATTAAGTGAGTAAACCAGAAGAGAGAAATGATATGCGTTCTGTGGTCTGCTTCAGACCTGCACACCTACGCCAGTACAGCGTGCACCCTACAAAGGAGAAGTCTTCACTCTGAAATCCAGAGAGATGGAAGAGGATGACAGAGCTGGGACCAGGATGCACTCTTCATCCGGGTACTGTGGTTAAGCAAGCGCACAGTAAGTGTTCTGGAGTATCAACATATGATTATCAGCACATAAAATTAGTATCTTTCTTCCCAGGCCTATGAAGAGTCCAGAATTTCAAAGTGGAAAGAACACTGATAAAGGCCTTGATGATTTAGAACGTAAGATGGGCAATGGTGATTGACAGACCTTGAGCTAGCTAGAGATTCATTCTCTAGAATGTTAGGGAATATTCCAAAAGAGCCCCAGAGAATCGTCTATGAGTGCAAAGCAACAGGCCAGTTGTAGGCAGAGAGCCCTGCCTACTGTACTAAAAGTATATTCCATGGTCAATATTTAAAAAACAACTAGAACTTTATGTGGAAAGAAATGAATCTTTGCGTTGTAAATGCAGTTATGGCCTATGATTTAGAATGCATAACAAATGAATAAAATTGAGGAAATAAAGGAAAGTTACATAACTTTGTGAGAGAATTTTCTAGAAGTACTTGGTAGTATCTGACACTTGGTTTCTGGAGAAGCATAGCTGTCACTATGCAAAGACATGTGAGCGCTGGTCAGTCGTGCGCTGCCCTTTGACAGACAGATCTTCCTGTTTGGAAACTCCTACGATTTCCAATTTTTTCCTTTTTTTTCTCCTCCATTGTTTTCCTTCTCCATCAAATCTCTACTAAAGGACGGTGCTATAGTTTTAGCATCTCTATAACGTCACTTCCGCTGACTTAGTAAAATATACACTTTTCCCCTTTTGGTGATTTTACTAGATTCTGATTATTTTTTTAAAATTGTGATGTGTATTTGTATGTCTCAACATGTCTGGGAGAGTCTTACACTAGCTGGCATGTTCAGCTGACAGCCTTGGGCCACAGAATAGCCGTTAGTACAGCCCAACACACAACGTAGTTAAGACGTTATGAGATGCTGTTTGCAGTTGTTTTTGGTAACTTGATTGTGTGGCTCTTAGTGTAAACTTTAGAGATGACGAACTTCACAGGGCAATGTCAAAGGGTCAGACACTGTTGTTGGAAGTTGACCTGATCGATGAAGGCGCGTGTGTATCAGCTGGAGCCCTGATGGATGAAGACCTGGTCTCCCACCTACTCGGGCACTGCACACACTCACATCTGACAACCTGTGCTTCCCCGATTAAACTGTGTGACAGCGGGGACTTGGATAATGAGCACTGGGACAGTGCAGGCCTGGCCCCTCATGCAGCGCGCTCTCTCATTGTTGGACGTTGTCATTTTTTTTTAACAACACTAGCCCCAAGCTTCAGTATTTCTGTCCTTTCCACATTACTGAAATTATTCGCGTGATTCAGAAAGATTATATTTAAAATTCGGGAGATTAGCAAGAGAAAGAAGCGGTGCTGAGTGTGATCACATGCTCCTTGAAGCTTTTGTAGGCATAGGCTTAGTGTTTACTTTGATTAGAACATTTCTTGGCAGTAGCTTGAATTCAGCCTCTCTTTGTGAGGGAGAACATTACACTGAGTGCCTTTTATTCTCTTCAAAGGTAAAAGCCCAGCAAAGGCTCTGAGGGCCCCTCCCTGCCATGCTGTCAGCCCCTGGAGAAGAGCCTGTTATTTCAACTCCCCAAGATCTTTTAGGAAAAATCATTGCTCTGGGCCTCTTTGATTTTTCTCTCAGAAGCAATAGCTGTCTGCCTCACAGTGCCTTTGTTGCTGCAGAAGATTGAAGACATAAATGAATGTTATTGGGATGGGAAGTCTGCATGAAGATTCATTGATGAGTCTTTTCAAATGTCGTCTTTTCTTACGCTAGATTTCTTTCTTTGGGTTTTTAAAGATAACTTTCTTGTGTAAAGTTTTTGTTGTTGTTTTGTTTTAATGGCTATATTTGTTCAAAATAGCACTGTAATTTTACATTTGATTGCAATTAATAAACACTAGGAGCTTCATTTTGTGTTCTGGTATCTGAGTTCCACGTGTCTCCTTCTACCTAGTGGGTGGGATGAGGACCCAGAGAACCTGTTCAGACAAGAGAACATGATTTCTTGAATTTTCAGTGGCTCCTGTAAGTAAAGACCCTTGATGGATCCCAGGAAATCAAATCAGGTGTTCAACCATTAAATGAGTCTGAGGCAAACTATCCAATCAAATCATATCGATGGATTTAGGATTTGAGGGGATTAAATGGAATTGGCATCCTCTGGAGATGTGTTGATCTGTTCCTCCCAAGCCCTTTCCTGTGTCTTAGTTCCTCTGTGCATTGAGATTGGGTTTCTCTTTCTTTTTCTGGGCAGACAGGCCAAGAGGGATGTCTTTGGATGTACCCACACTCTGACACACTAGCCCACAAGAGGGTGTGTTTGCACCTTTAACAGACGGGGGGGGGGGGGGGGGGGGGGGGGGGGGCGCGGCTCAGCTGTCATTTGTCCTGAGCACACGGAATAGAGGATGATGGTAAGATGCACCCAAAGAGAAATCTTCCAGCTCAATTAAACTGAACATCCTTTTGTCTCAAGTTAAAAGAGATCACAAAATTATGTGTTTTCTTCCTGCACTGGGCCTGACAGAGGCAACTCCACAATAGAGCACAGAATCCTATGCCAGTGAATAAGTCCATGGCTTTCTTACCCAGAAGTCAATCCTCACACGCATCATTTAGTGCTCACTTGAAATGTCACCTTCTCCCAGAGGTTTTCCAAAGTAGGTTAGGTCCTTCTTTTACACAGCTCCATGGTGAGACCAACATCTACCCATCATTACACTTACATCTTACGCAGTGTGTGGTTACCTCTGTGTCTGTAGTTTCTATGCCCAGGGATTCAGCCAATGGATCCAAAACATCTGGGGAACAAAAGGTCTGTACTGACAGGTAGATCTTATTTCCCGACATGATTCTCTGAACAATACGGCATCTCAATCTCTCCAGAGCATTTACTTCACATTAGGAGGTAACAGTAACCAAGAGATGGGTTTCGGTATAAGGGAGGGCGAGCACACGTCGTTCATGTGAGGTCGCTCATGTGAGGTCGTTTTATATAAGTAGTGTCGGCATCCTCAGATTTTGGGATCCACGTGGTCCTGAAGCCAACCCTCCATGCATACTCACCAAGGGACTGACTGCGACAGCTGCTTGTTTCTCTTCTCCTTCTCCTTCTCCTCCGGAAGCTGCAGGGAGGGGCTTGTCTGGTCCTCGGGCACTCCCCCATACCCAGCACAGTGTGTGGTCAGTGATGGGTAATCAGTGACTAGTTTTTAGTTTTTATATAAACAAGGAAGTGAAAGGATTCCTGCTAAGTTTTTTGACTGATACAGATGAAGTTAGAGAGCTTTCAACACAACAGAAACAGCCCTGTAGGCTTTCCTGCACAGCTCTTCAGGAGAAGAGGGAAGTAACCACAGTATTCTGCTCCAGCAAAGCCATTGGAAATGCACATGGCTCTCCTTTGTGTTTTACGGATTGCCTGTGAGACCAAGCTCCTTTTCCTTATGAAGTCTGATTGATCTTCCTAAACCTACCTCAGTTTCTTCATTTACAAAACAAAAACAAGGATTTGCCCTCTCCAAAGGGTACCCCCGAGGCCTGTCATACCCAAGCCCTACACAGTCCACAAATGCTAGCTCCTGTGGCTCTCAGTGTGCTGAGTCAGTACAGATGTGCTGTCCAGAAAGCCTTAGAAGTTTTGGTCTTTCCTTGAAGTTCACCACATTGGTAGTACCAAGCCCTTAGTGGTGGCGGAAGAACAGAAGGGGGTGCAGGTCTAGGCACAAGACAAGGGCATGTGGCCATCATGGAGAAGTCAGTGGGCACGATGGCCAGGATGGGGACACCATGAGCAATCTGAGCAGGGATACACGTGGAAGCATGGGGATAGATGAAACATGGAGGCAGCCACATCCTAGCAGGAACTCTTCTCCCTGTGTGGGAGAAGGCAGCATTGTGGACTTGTCAGGGCTCGAAGGTTGCAAAAGCTGCATTTGAACCGGCCGAGCAAGACATGGAAACATCCCAAGCTTCAGTTCTTCTGTTGATGAAATGGAAATTCAGTAGCCACGACTATTTTCTATGCACGGATGCTTGAAGACTAAGATAGTATGTATAACGCCCGTCTCTCTGACAGTGTCAGCCCAGAGGCACACCCTTCCTGTCCTTTCTCCACGTGGCTTTCCCCGCTTCTTTCCAAACTACCCAACGCTGGGTCCCAAAGAAGGCACACAATATAATAACCAGATTTCTGTTTGTCAAGGCCCTTCTCTCCCTTCACTTCTCTCTGGAAAATATCTGTGGACAAGTCTCTGAAACAGAGCGACAAACCGTCACTTAGTGAGCACCTGCTGTTTGGAGAGGGCTGAACCAGCCCCTTCCTTCTGGTGGCCGCGGCCCCTGCAGAGCTGCACGGAGTGGCACACGGAAGAGCTCAGGGAATCTGGGTCGAAGGAATGGAATAACTGTGCCAATAACAGGAAGTGGAAGAGGAGAAGAGGGTTGGGGTGCACACATAAGGAAAAGTAACTCAACAACCAATTGTGATTTGTGTGCACGGTCCGGGTTGCATCTGGTGAGTAGGTGTTTGTAAAAGTGTAAACTACATGGGGACTGGCCCTCGGGACTCTGAGACAAGGGTGTCTGTATAAACACTAGAGGGGTATGGCAGATTAACTGAGCTTTCTCAAACTGTGAGGGGTTTTGTTTGTTTGTTGTTTTGTTTTTTCCCTTACAATAGGATGTAGTGTCCACAAGAACTCAGGACCTCTGGTTTTTTCTTTAATGAAACAAATGTGCTCCATAGATCCTAAATGATAACACCTATTAGGCCTTCATTATGGGCCTGCACCAGGACTGAGCTCTGTGGACTCTGTCACCTAGTTCTGTCTACAAGCTCATGAGATGCCATCGCTCTTAGGTCACAAATGAGGAACCACGACTCAGAGAGGTTGAACCAGTGCCCAAAGTGTGACAGATGCCCATTTGGTTGGCAGGCGACTCAAGATGTAAACCCTGGTCCATCGCAAACAACTGTGTTAGTGGATTCTTTACTCCAGAGTTTCTCCATCCCGAAAACATGACACGAAAAGAACCCACAACCTCAGAGAGGAAAGAGAGTATCTTCCCCAGACTGATCGCCACAGAGAACACTGCAGAACATTCCGGTGGCATGGGGTCCAACATCCAGCAGTGATCGGCAGGGACCACGACCAAGGAACTGAGTCACTCTGGAAGTGGAATCAGCAGAAGAATCACTGGGGTGTGGTGAGGCAGAGGAGAACGCACACGAAGCAGCAGCCAGCACAGAGCGGGAAGGGGGCGAGCACCTGGCCAGTTAGCCAGCCGGTGCCATTTTCCCGGGCCACTGGTGAGCCTGGGAAGGGACTGGAGGAAAGCAAGTCTCCCTACATCGGGCTCATTACCCAGCCATTTTCCCACTAGAGCTGCTCGGATTTGGCTTTTGGGGTGCTCCCAGCTCCCTCAGCCTACCTTGTCCCTCAGCCTTGTTCTAGCAGCCTCTTACACTTCTCTCTCAGAGTACAAATGAGTTAGGAGTTATTCATGCTGCTGGCCTCTACCTCCCCAAGTTCTGCTTTCTTTTCTTAACGGTTTTTCAATACTCCGTGAGGCTTCACACCATGGGGCCAATCTCACCCTAAATAATTCTCTTGTCTTGGGAACTCTTGATGCAAGAAGGCTTGTTTTCCCTTTTCAAGGAACACGCAGGCACACATGCCCAATCTGATCAATATTTACTGCTCTGCACAGGTCTGTGGAAATGAGAGAGGTTCATGACATTTAGGAAGACAGGAACACAAGCCTGGGGGGAGTGCATAGTAAAAACATTGCCGTGGAGGCATCTGGAAATGCCTGGACTGGACTCCTGGGGTGCAGCAGGCAGCCCAGCATGTAGGCCTTGGGCTTCAGGGCCCATCCTGAGAAGGGGGAGCCTCCAAGGATAGTCTTGTTGCTTTGTACCATTTTGTTTGTTGGCAATTGTCTTAGTTTGGGTTCCTATTGCTGTGAAGAGACACCATGGTCAAGCCACCTCTTTTAAAGGAAACATTTGATTGGGGCGGTGGCTTGCAGTTCAGAGGTTCAGTCCATTATCATCATGGTGGGACTCGGCAACATGTAGCCTGACGTGGTGCTGGAGAAGGAGCTGAGAGGCCTGCATCTTGCAGGCGACAGAAGTGGTCTGTTTGTCACACTGAGAGAAATTTGACCAAATGAGACCTGAAAGCCCGCCCACAGTGACACACTTCCTCCAACAAGGCCACACCTTCTAATAGTGCCTTTGGGGGGCATTTGCTTTCAAATCACCACAGCAACAAAGGGCAAATGAAGAATCTTTCATCTTCTAGGGTCCTAGAATATACAGTTATGGCCCTGAATCTGAAGGCTAAGGAGGAAGAAAGCAGCGTCTTGGTGTTTTTGTTTACTGAAGTTCTTTGGTGGATGCTGGCTTACCTGTCAACAAAAAAGGACTCATAGGAAGAGCAGATGATGGTGACTCAGAGACTCGGCCACAGCAAGCAGTGCCTCCTGAGGTAAGAACATACAACATGGGGCTGGAGAGATGGCTCAGCAGTCAAGAGCACTGACTGCTCTTCCAGAGGACCCGGGTTCAATTCCCAGCACCCACATGGCAGGTCCCCGCTGTCTCTGACTCCAGTTCCAGGGAATCCGACACCCATGGCAAAACACCAAATACACATAAAAGAAAATAAAGAATATATAACATGGACAAGGTGGCCATTTTGGAGAAGACTTCGTATCCATGTGTCTAAGGATGCGGAGACAGCCTGGGGAACATCACTTACCCTCTCTGAACCTCAATTTCTTGATCTATGAACTGGAGACCATAAGAGTTCCTCTGCCTCCTTGGCTGTGTTGTGAAAGGGACCCAAAGAGATGGCATTTGTGAGTGAAGCAATAAGGGGGTAATGAGTGCGACATAACGACGGTGTGGACGGCGTGCTCTGAAAATCGGTGATAAGGGAAGGCATGGAATGGGAGCAATTAGAAAGCAGTGGGGGGGGGGTTAAAAATAGACGAGTGAGCTCACAGTCACACAGAAGGGCCCTTCTGTGAAGAGAGTGCCAAGCACCGGAGAGAAAAACGTGGGCAGAAAAGGAAGGTTAGCTGTGGATCCGGGAAGTGGAGGTGCTGCCCGCCCCGCTGGAGGAAGCTAGGGCTTGTGTTTAGTGGTGCACAGAAGCTTGGAGTTGGGGTGACAGCTCATGATGTGGCATTTTCTGAGTCACGATACCATCCACACTGAGAGTCACATGCCCAAGCCAGAGCCAGATGCAAGCCTAGCAAAGCCAAGGTCAGGCTGAGCTCAGAAATGAGAGGGAAGAGGTTGCACGTAGGAGAGCAGCAGGGTGAGTAAGATGGGCGTTAGAGGTGAGTTCTGCGGGACAAGGCTAGGACACGCAGAGGAGGCTGGCTACGTGTCCTGCCACTGGGCTAGGGGTCAAGGCCAAGAAGACAAGAGTCCTGGGCAAGGTGACAGTGCAGCTGGGAAGGAGGTCTGGAAGAGACAGTGCACAGAACCAGAGCTACAGGGCAAAAGGGAGGCTGGTTCTCTGGAGCGGGACAAACTGTGCTCAGGATGGCAGGCTCCTCTGGAGCCTTCCTGCAGGACTGTCGTCACACAGAAGTCACTCTTAGTCCTGTTGGAGGGAACTGACAAGATGGACATGGCCAAACTGAAAATGTTCAGCAAACCGGGCCTGGAGGCACAGGCCCGAGACCCCAGTTATTCAGAAGGTTGAGGCAGGAGGATTGTAACTTCCTGGAACCCTGTCTTAAAATAAAATATAAGGCAGTGGGCTAGGAAAGGTAGCTCCGTGGTAGAACACTTGCCTAGCATGTGCCAGGCCCTAGGTTCAACTGCAATATTACAAAGAGAAGTAAATTAACTATTTAAAATTTTTCAGACAGGCTCCAAATTTGATCTCTTTTTCTGGCTTTGGCCTGAGGTAGGTAGTTGGCCTCTGGACCTGAAGCATTCCAACCTGTTTGCAGACATGGTTTCTTTCCATAAATATTCTCTGTCTCTCTCTCTCTCTCTCTCTCTCTCTCTCTCTCTCTCTCTCTCTCTGTCTGTCTCTCTCTCTCTGTCTCTCTCTCTCTCTGTCTGTCTCTCTCTCTCTCTCTCTCTCTCTCGTGTGTGTGTGTGTGTGTGTGTGTGTGTGTGTGTGTGTGTGTGTGTTCAAATCTGGGGCAATCCTCCTCCAGCTTCCCTGGTGCTAAGACTGGAGGATTATGCTGTCCTGTCCTACCTCACCCCTTTCCTTCTCTTTATATCATACAAGGTTTAGAATTGCCACGCTCCATTTAGTGGCCTGTTTCCATGGCAACTTGTTTCTGCATTTTGCCGTTCTCAATCCGCCTATAGTGCTATGGCTGATTCCAACTTCTAAGCACGGCAGCCCTCAGCCATGTTGACATCCTGTCCTGACGCAGAGTGTCTTGAAAGGGAACACTGTCTTCCCAAATAATTAATTTAAAAATACATTTAAACACGTTAAGGCATGATCTTTAAAATGTAGAAATAGAGAATTTCTTCACTCCTGCTAGTCAAGAACAACTACTCTTGTCAGTCATTTTCATTGGCTCATTCCAGGCTGTTTGCTCCGGGCATATGAAATGAGGTGGTTTGAATGAGAATGGCCCCCTTAGACTCATGTATTTGAATGGCTGGTCCCCAGTGGGGAGAACTCTTTGGAAAGCATTAGGAGGAGGTGTGGCCTTGCTGGAATAGGTACGACATTGTTGGAGGAAGTATGTTCCTGGGGGTGGGCTTTGAGGTTTCAAAAGGCCATGCCACTTCCCGGTTAGCTCTCTCTCTGCTTCCTGGTTGTTGTCTCAACACATAACCTCTCATGGATTGCTCCAGTGCCTGCTGCCTGCCTGCCTGCCGCCACACTGCGCACCATGGTACTAACGGACTGACTCTATGACACCATAAACAAACCTCCATTTAAATGCTTTCTTTTATAAGCTGCCTTGGTCCTGGTGTCTCTTCACAGCAACAGCATAGTAGCTAAGAACTTCAAAGACAACCAGGGAAAGGGTCTCCAGGAGACCCTAGGCTCCAAATACAATGGCTGGCTCTGAGTTTCTTGACACACTCCATGGTCATCAGACTTTGGTAGTGTCCCCACCCTTAGTGATACAGGCCGGGACTTGATCTCGGGCACATGCAAGAACAAGAGTCATGGTGAAAATTCACTTTTGTCTCACTAATATATATGTATATATACATTTAAACTAACAAATCATTACAGTTTTTTTTCTTCTTTTCACATGTATGCATGGGAAAGCTGAGGTTGAGGTTGATGTTAGAAATCTGCCTCCGTGGCTCACTCACCTTAGTCTTTGAAGTAGGATCTGTCAATCAACCTCAGAGCTTGCCAATGTGACTAGTTTCATTAGCCAGCTTGACTCCCCGTCCCTTCCTTCCTGGACTGGGAGGACAGAGAACTGCCACATCCACCAGGTTGCTTGGGTTGTAGGGATCCAGACTCTGACTCCCTTCGTGCATGACAAGCACTTTACCTGCAACGGTCTGCCCAGTCTGGCTTTGTGTTTTCTGAGTCCCTTGGCGGCACTTTCCACTTTAGAGAGGCTGAGTCTGCAGAGCCATTACCCTCCACCTTATTGTTCTCCTGGGTTGATTCTGGACCGTGGTCTGCATTGGGTTTTGCTCGTTTTGTTTTGGGCTTTTTAGCTATAAAATTGCAAGACTTTTAAGAGACGCTTGGATGGAGGCCCACAGATGCTGGTTGACAGTCAACTTGCCTTTTCAGAATGAATTTTCTAGCAGTTCTGTGTGCCGTTTTCTCTTGGCAGTCAGTGTGTATCAATGACCTTGTATTCACAGTCTACGCCCCAAGAAGCCAGGTTCAGACACCTGGCCTCAATAATAACAATTAGAATGAACAAATTAATAGCAAAAAGCAGAAATATGAGAGTTATTCGATGTGGCTATATTTGGAAGAGTGATAAAGAGATCCAGTGGCCCTCTTCAAGTTCATCTTTGGGATTCTGAAGTGAAACCCAGGTTTAAGTATGGGCCAGAGATACGCATCTCTTAAGTAGTCCCAGTCAGTGTACATTACTGTCCGTCATTGTCTGGGCTCCGGTGTCCCAGCCAGATGATCTGACAAGTTCTCGGTGCTGGATGAAATCACTTGCCACTGGGTGGCAAGTTCCTCCTTTGGCTGGCACCAGCCTTTAGTAGTTCTCTTCCCCGTGTAAGTTCCTGGAGGAATCCCAGTTTCTTGGGGTCCACTGTGTCAATAGTCTATAAGTCACAATAAGGAACACAAGTGTCTCTTCAAAATATGATTCCTGCCAGGCCAGTTACATCTCCACATTGGTGTCATTCACGGGCACGACTTTGTATTACTCACTTTTCTATGGCAATAAACACCGTGACCAAGTCAACTTAGAGAAGAAAAAGGCTATTTGGGCTTATGTTCCAGAGGGTCAAGAGTTCGTGGTAGCTGAGTGGCGTCATGGCAACAAGCCGTATACATGGCGGCAGGAGCAGGAAACCCGAGGGCTGACGTCTTGAACGGCAAGGAAGCAGACAAGCAATAGATGATGCTTTATCCCCTCAAGGTTTACCTTCAGTGAAATACTTCCTACAAGGTCACACCTCCTAAGCTTCCCAAACAGCGCCACCAACAGAGGGGCAAGTATGTAAATGCCTGAGGCTACTGGGGACCCCTTGTTCAAACCCCCACAGCATTTAAGGGCATGGCTCAGAGTAGTGTGAAGGTCTTCTCTTTGGGTTGGTTCCTCACTGCTCCAAGAGACTCCAGGGAACAGACCCATCACTATGTCTAAGGGGCATTCCAAACCTTTTAGGACAGCTGTCTTCTGATTTATCAAAACCTGAATCCTGACATTTCCTGTTCTTTCCATGTCTGAACTTACAGACCCAGGAAGATAAGCAGCGTTCTCTCTAACGGTGCAGGTCCGATGCTTGCGAGGGTGTCTTTGCTAGCTGCTTGATGACTTCTGTTCCTCACAAAGCTGTGTTCAAACTCTTATCCCCAGTTTCTTAATATAGCTGGTCCTTTCTATTCATGGGCTCTGCTTCTTTGAATTACACAGCATTTTCACGGTGTCTCTAGGTAATCTAGAGATAATTTACAGAGTCAGGGAAGACACACACAGGTTATGTGCAAATTATGTCATTTTGCAGAGGAATTTAAAAGAACGTTTGTAACAGAATGAAGACTATGAAAACAAGCAAAAACTGAAATCACAGTGCTGTAAGCACAGAATGCCAAAGACTTCCGCTGCCACCAGATTTTGGAGGAGATAGGGAAAGAAGTTTCTAGAGATTCTGAAGGGAGCACAGCCCTGCTGACATCTTAACTTGAGCTTTTAGACTTCAAATTTATGAGGGCATAAATTCCCGTCATCCAGTGTCTGGTTTCTGGTTACCGCCGACCAAGGAAGAAGTAGCACTCAGCAAGTCAAACACTAGATAAAGCTGAGAGGTGTGAATCCTCCAGAATCTCCTACTTTCAAAGTTCAAGTCTTCCAAGGACAGATGGAAATGTGCCCAAGTTGCTTTTATACTTCTGGATGAGAAAAAAAAAAAGAATAGACTTTTTTTTCAGTCCCCAATGCTGAGTGATAGAATTGACCATAATACATTCAACACAGTACTTTAGAGACGGCCTGGATATTTGCAGCACCTCCGGGCTTTGAATGCCTGACATGCTGATGTGGGGACTCCTTGAGACCTGACCTGATCCTGCTGTAAACCTCTGCCCCTCCGCCCATGACTGGAACATGACTGCTTGGAGTGGTCCCACACACCTGCAAGGGCATTAGACGATTTGGGGGTTGGCTGTGATGAGTGACGGCAACCATATGTATTCGTTGCAAATTCTCCTCCAGGGAAAAACCCTGAACAAAGTGCTTCTAAATTGTTTTTTGTTTTGTTTCTGGTGAAAAGGCTGGGAGGACTGAGAAGCTGTGGCAGCAATGGAAACAGATGTCGTGGTAGCAGTTGGCGAGGGGTGACGACAGTCGCTAACAGCTCATCCCGAGGGGAGGGGACTCAAGGAAGGCCTAGGTGATGGCACTGATTGGGCTTTAGACACAACAGCGCTACAAACAAACCTGGCTTGTAATCTGAGGAAATTGGAAGGTACGTGGATCGCCAGCTGCTGTGGGGAGCTGATCTCCAAGATGAAGGGCGAGGAAGAGAGTGAGGATGAGGGTCTTCTTGGCTCACAGGGTGATGGAATTTGGTAGAAATCTCAGGTTGTTGCCACTGAAGCAAATTAATATGAAGTTCCATAGCTAACACAGAGCCAGACAAACATGAGAATCCAGGACTCCTGACAGAGGCCCAAGGCCATTCCAATTTAGAAGTCAAGAATGAGAAAAAACAGACAGTTTTAACCCAAAACTTCTACATTTTGTAGAGTCCCATTTTCTAGCTGATTAACATACAAGATCCCCAAAGAGCAATGGAGCAAAATTCATGAACTAATGTTTGTGGTTTGGGCTCCATTCTATTTTAAAAACGCATTAAAATCCGATTTTATTTCTAACATTAACGATTAGACGAGTTCCCATAATAATCTGGGACTCTGGCTGTTCTGGGAAAAGTCATTTGCTCTGTGGGAAATGGAGTAAGAGCCTCCTCATGCTGCAGATGAGGTACAAGTGGGCTGCCCTTGCAGACCTGCCTGGCTTTGTTAACTTACACCATCTACCTGGCCTGTGTAGCCTGGTGTTTGCAACCCCTGGGACTGGGAAAAAACACAGACTCTCAGAGCCCTGGGCTGACAGTTGAGATTTCATATTGCAGAAGTGAGGGGGTGGGAAAGTGGGTGAGCAGGAGCAGAGAGCCAAGGTCACAGAAGCAAAAGGTCTTGTCCAAAATCCAGGGACAGAGTTTTCATCTATTTCTGGATGAAAGAACAGGATGTGGGAACCAGCACTGTGGTCAGCTCTGTTGTGCCACACACCAGCCGTGACTGAGGCAAAGCATCCTCTGTCTATTTTTAACTGGATCTCGGAGCTGCGTCAGAGGACCTGGCTGCTGACTAATCTTGTCGAAGCATCCTTTTCTGAATTGCATAAATGCCATCTACACAGGCTGAAAAACATTGGAGAGAAAAACCATAAAGACACAGGGCATGTTATAAATAGTGTCTGAACAGGAGCAGAGTGTTCTGGGCCAGGGCTCTTTGGAGGTTCTCTAGGATTTCATGATTGAGCCACGCAGACAAGAAATGAGAAGTCATTTGTTTGTTTAAGCTGACGAAATGGCCAGTGGTTTTTTGTTTTGTTTTGTTGTGCACTCCCCCTGGCCCCTTCATTCCGAAGTACAATAAGAGCTGCTTTTTTACGCTATATGAAAATGTATGCAGACTTTTCAGCAGAACAACTTTTCACTTGTATATCCCTGCGCCAGGAGTAGGCATTTCATTGGAGGAGAGTAGTCAGGAATGAGAACAAAGATCTTTATGGCCAGAGCTCCCTCCCAGCCAACAAGAAGATGTTAGTGGTGAGCGAGGTGGCCGCGGGTTCCAGCCCATCACAGTTCTCTAGTGCGGAAATAGAGGGTGAAGCATGATCCTAATTAGTCTTATCAATAAAAACCAGGAGTCAGATATTGGGGTGATAACCTGCAAGGTCAGAGAAGCAAAGGAGCAGCCACCAGTGACTTCTTACCTCTCCTGATCCTCTGACAGGATGGGGCCCGAGATCCTGTCTCCACCCACCTTATATTCCTGTCTCCACCTCCCAATTGTTCTGGGATCAAAGGCATGAACCTCCCAAGTGCTGGGATTAAAGGTGTGAGCCACTACCACCTGGCCTCTATGGTTAACTAGTAGCTAGTTCCACCCTCTGATCTCCAGGCAAGCTTTACTGGTCAGAACACAAACAAAATATCACACAAGAGCGCACACTGTTTCTGTGAGAACCTACTCCAGCATCACTGCACTGACAGTTTGTGTCTCTGCTTGGGGTTTATTTCACAGGTAGGGAAAGCCCTTGGTGCAGCCTGGAGCGCCAGGGCAAGAGCCAGTGCCCAGCACTCAGCTGCCCACAACTAGCCACTGGCAGGAGCTGGTGCACACTGCCTTGACCCCTTAGTGCCGTTTTTAAGCTCTTCCACTCTGAAAGGGTGAGCGGCAGGTTTTGCCAAACATGCACTTAGAAGTGAAAGATGTGATAGTATGGTTTGTTTTCCGTGTGTGAGTGTGTGTGTGTGTGTGTGTGTGTGTGTGTGTGTGTGTGTAAAACATACGTCTATAGTTCGTATATGCATAAAGTGTAAAAGCAACTGGCTCTCTCCCTGTTCCACCCAGGTAACCACAGACTGGAAGGGTTTAGAGAAAACCACAGTGTGTCTATAGGACACGTGTGCAGAGTTTTTGTTGTTTTTGTGACTCCCTGAAACAACATCGTACAAATACACACTGCTTGTATTGCACGAGATAGCATTAGTAATCTAGAAAAATTCTTTAAGTAAAAATGCTGACTTCACTCAGGAGATGTTTAGATAAATGATAGATCAGAGCCTATGTAAATATGATTGAAAAAAAAAAACCCGCGGTGGTTGTTCATGAATGACTAAAGCTGGAGCAATGTGGCATTGCAAGGGGACTCATTTGGGGGCACCCAAATGTCCCAAAAATATCAAGGAGTATGTTGGCTTTACTTTGAAACAGATTTTATTCAAAGAAGCCATGGAGACAGCGCCCCTGGTGTTCTGCATGGACTAGTCTTGAGGAGTTCCTGGCCTAAGTCCTTCATCTCCTCATTCAACATGTATTTACTAGGGTTTGGATGATATACGTATATTTAAGATGGGGTCTTGTCTTAGTTAGGGTTTCTACTGCTGTGAAGAAACACCATGACCATGACAACTCTTATAAAGGAACAACATTTAATTGGGGTGGCTTACAGTTTCAGAGGTTTAGTCTATTATCATCATGGTGCAACATGGCAGTTTGCAGGCAGACATGGTGCTGGCTACATCTTGATCTGAAGGCAACAGGAAGTCAACAAGAACACTGGGCTTGAACACATATAAGACCTCAAAGCCCACTCCCACAGTGACACACTTCCTCCAACAAGGCCATACCTACTCCAACAAAGCCACACCTCCTAAGAGTACCACTTCCAGTGAGCTTATTCAAAGGACCACAGGTCTCATTCTGTAACCCTTATGTAGACCAGGGTCTGACTTATGTATGTAGACCAGGCTGGTCTTGAACCTGCAGCCATCTTTCTGCCTTTTTCTCTAGGTGCAGGAACCACAGATGCACCCTGGCATGCCCAGCTGGGATGATGTCCAGGTGCAGGATCACAGGTGCACCCTGACATGCCCAGCTGGGATGATGTCCAGGTGCAGGATCACAGGTGCACCCTGGCATGCCCAGCTGGGATGATGTCCAGGTGCAGGATCACAGGTGCACCCTAGCATGCCCAGCTGGGATGATGTCCAGGTGCAGGATCACAGGTGCACCCTGGCATGCCCAGCTGGGATCTACGTCCTTTATGAAGGTGCTGTGATGTGTGTTATGCATGGACTGAATGTAGTAATTACCATGGTTGATAACCAAAGAAGTAAAATGTATGTTCTCTTTTCATAAGAATGAAGCCATGGTAAATTATTCACCCATGTGTGATATATTATTAAAACCGCACAACATCTGAATTCAGAGGAATGAGTTATTTTCATAAATTGGAATAATCTGGAACGTATCCATTTCATTGCTTTTCAAAGACAGAAGAAATTCTACAGCTATCGTGTTCTCTTGCTTTGTGTTTTGATGGCTCGGGTTTCTGAGAAACAGCCAAGAGGAAGCAGGAGGAAAGGGTGGTTTCAGCACTCAGCTCCGCTCCAAGCCTTGGCGGATTGGGAACTGTTGTTCCGAAGAGCTCATTAGAGAAAAGGTGTGAATACACCACACTTTATAAAGCAGCACAGGAGAGAGGACCTGGGTTCAAATCCTGCTTCCGGAACAGGCCACTTAGCTTCTGTGTGACTCAGTTTCCTCATTCATAAAACCACAATACACGGAGAAATTTGGTGAACTGCGACACTCGGTGTGCCGGATACCCAGTAAGGACACTAACAGCCGCCGTGTTTTCTGGGAGGAAGTGATTGGAGTCGGGAGGGAGGTAGACTTGGTTATGCCGCCTCACAACAGTACCTGAAGAATAAACTCATTCTCTAAATTTTGAGTTCAACATTTTTTCTTCATTGCATCAACTGTTTGTAAAGAATATATTTATTTTCTTCACTGTGTTAACACGTCCACTTGTAAAACACAGGGCACTTACTGTTTCACTACAAGCTCTTTTCTACATGCTTTCCTTTTTAGAACAATTTTGATGGATTCCTTTCTCCTCTAATTAACATATCACGTTTACAACGAGTGCACCACTTGCTGTGGAAAATCAAGACTTTCAATTTTCAGGTCGTCAGCCGCTGACATCGCAGTCCGACTTTAAACTGTATGAAATTACATATGACATTTAGAATTGAATAACAGTGCTGACTGCCTCTGTGTCTATGGAGAAAAAAGAACATTTCTTTTGACCTAGTGTTATCTTTTCCCCTTTTCCGCAAATAAATCACACCCATGAGCTGAGAGCTTCTGCTGTTCTTTACGATTCATTGACCAACCATGAGAGAGCAAACCAATCAAATGCCAAGAGTCTGGCCACCGTCCGTGCTCCTCTCCAGGGGACTGCTGTCTCCCCAGAATCCTAGGCTTCAGAGAGAGCTGCTTCCTTGGAGATTCCTGAGCTCAACTCTTTCAAAAGCTGACCTCTAAGAGGTGAAGCAGCGTGTGAAGTCGTGAAGCTAGCTGGTGATGGAAACAGGGTGTAGGGAGGGTCTGAGCACCCCTCTGTGTGTTTCTGACTGACAGACTCTCCGTGCGTCGGGTCCTGTGTCAACTCCTCGATTTCTCAAATGACTTTCTGTATTATCAGGTGTTCTGTTAGCCACATCACGCAGGCTCAGTACAGCTTGGTGCTTGTTCTTGCAACAGAGTTTGGCTGGAACACAGACAAGCTCAGGCGGGTATTGTCTTCTTGCTGTGATGAAAAAGTTAAGTCCTTGCACCAGGGACCACATGAAGGCAAAGCCTCCCCTCTTTCCCACTAGGCCTGTTCCAGATCTCAGCTGTAGATCAAGCCTGGTTGAAAGTCGTTCTTTGCTGTTTTTACTCCGTGTATCGGAGTTTATTGTCTGAACTTGACAGAATAGAGTTTGGACTGACAACAATGAGAAAGAAGAAAGAAAACAGGAAGGACCTGCATCTGTTTATTTAATGTGGATGGGAAGTGTTCACTGGGTTTTATACATGTCGTCTCACTGCGTGTCTATGGGATGGATGCTCTGGGTCTTAGCTTGTACATATGAAAACAAGCTCAGAAAGACAAGCACTAAGCTGCTTACGTTTGCGTCACCAATCCTTAGCACAAGGACTTAGATCCAGCCGTCCTCAGTCTAAAAATCTGTTCAGTCTACTATATTGTGTGCTTTGTCAAGATTGTCTCCTACTTTAAAAACGATGTGACCTAGCATCCTCTAAATTTAAATAAAAATTTAATTAAATTTCATCATTTAATTAAAAATATTAATTAAAAATATATATTTAGTAACAAGTCATGTTTAATAAATAGCTAACAATAGACAAAGTCATCTTGTGCGTGACATCCTCACACATTCGTACGAGTGGATGATTGGACTGCAGAAGAGGAGCAGGACATTGGCTGGCAGGCAATTAGCATCTTGTGTTATTGAAGAAACTCAATGTCTCGTCAACAGTAGGTGGAAGTCCTGTGTGTATAACCAACTACACAATTAATTACATAGACAGCATGTAGATGTGCTTTTATTTAATCAACAGCCTTCTTCTCCAAGGCTTACGAAAATTCTCCAGATAAATGTGTACTGCGGTGGCATAACCGCCTCAGTCACTGGAGTTCTTTACAACACAGATTTCCAGGCCTTCAAAAACACCTCAGTCCGTACACCTGAATGTGGGTTTGGAGAGCTGCAATTTTCTCTCTCTCTTTTTTTTTTTTTTTACCTTTTTAGAGCTTTATTGGGGGGGTTGGGGGGGAGAGAGAGGACAGACGGAAGGAAGGAGCGGAAAGGCACAATTTTCTCTCTTTTGCCTATGTAGTTGATCTTTTTTTTTTCCCTGTGTGTGTGTGTGTGTGTGTGTGTGTGTGTGTGTGTGTGTGTGCATGTGTGGGTGTCAGAGGACAGATTTTAGGAGCAGGTTCTCTCCTCACACCCAGTTGAGGTAAGAGCTCCCCTGTGTCAGTAGCCCCGACCGCTCCACGCTAGTTGGCCTGCAATCTTCAGTGACTCTGTCTCCGCCTTCCCTCTGGCCTTAGGAGTGTGGGGGGTTGCAAGTGCAAGCCACCACATCTGGCTTTTTGTGGGTTTAGGAGATCAGACTCAGGTTACCAGGCTTACAAGGCAAGGGCTGTCACCTCCTGATCCATTTCATCAGCCCTGTGCAGGTGATTTTGACATTGAGCCAACCCTGAGGTCCAGGACTCTGGAAGAGTAGGTCAGCAAAGGCCACTTTCTTCTTTCCGTCCCATAGAGCCCTCCCTTGTGTCTGATTCTACCCTCTTCCCAGAGAGCCGTGTCATGATCATAGTAGCATCGTTCCTAGTCTTTGCTAAAAATGAGGCTGGAGGAAGGTGTTGGGCAGCACACACCACCCTGTGTATTTTCTGATCATCCGTAAACATGGGGGACATTCTGTTTTATTTGCACTGACCATGGCTAGTTGTAGTTTATTTCTGTCATTCATTTGTAACTTGTTTGCATTTGTACAAATTGGTCCACTGACAAACTTAACCTGATTTCTTTGAGTATAAAATGAGGTTCACAGACATTCAGAATTTAGATAAGGCAATTGTCTCCCATATTGTGTGATCATCTTTCCTTCACGTCTAGCTTTTGAAAATGTCACTAAAACCACTCTAGATTAAAACCAAGAGGAGATTTGGACCCTGATCATTTGGAAGCTTACTTGGTCTGTCTTCTGATTTGATTTTTACCTCTGCAGTGTCAGGGCATTTAAGCTAATAACACAGATTTTCAAACATGTGTGTGTAACTACATTCAACCCCCTCTCATTTTACCGGCCAGCTCCTCCGTCATCTTTAATTTGAATAAATGACCTCAGTTGTATTTGCTACATGTTGGAAATCACTATTGTTAACTTCGGGTGAGACAGTGAGTTCTTACTAAGAATGAGATGTGTGTGTTTCTTTGTCATGGATAAATTAAGACCCAAACTCTCTTGACAGCTTCACTACACCCCACACTGTAACTGTGACTGATTAGGTCCTAATGGGGAGCGCAACAGGCACAGAATCTGAGAAAGGAAAGATGTCTAACATCACAGGAAGAACCACAAAGACTATGAGGTGCTTAAAATCACTACATCCGGTCCTCGAATGATAGCAAATGTGGAGTCAGTGAGGACAAAGGAAAGACTCCAACAAAGCACTGTCGCCAAACTGGGGTTCAAGATGAGAAATGATGACTTAGTCTGTAAATACAGTCGACTTCCTAAGCCATCAGAACTAGGAGCAAAGAAAGGTAGCCGTGTGAAATCACTGTAGCCCAGGGTCTTTCTGCCTCTGTGAGATCAACAGAGCACATTTCACAATAGACGCCTCAAAGAACAACACACCATTCTCAGTCTAAAGCGGATTGGCTACAATTAAATAAGCATCTGGTGTCCAGCTTAGACTGACTGTAATGAGCAGTCTAAACCCTGTTTCCAAAGTCAGAACTGCTCCTTGTGACTGTATGCTGTGGGATGTCCTGTATGCTGTAAATATATGTTGCTATGATTGATTGATAAATAAAATGCTGATTGGTCAGTAGCCAGGCAGGAAGGATAGTGTAGGCGGGACAAGGAGAGAGGAGAATTCTGGGAGGTGGAAGGCTGAGTCAGAGAGAGGCTGCCAGCTGCCACTAGGAGAAGCATGATGTAAGATACTGGTAAGCCACAAGCCACGTGGCAAGATATAGATTTATAGAAATGAGTTGATTAAAGATATAAAAACAGATAGCGAGCAGTCTGCCATGGCCATACAGTTTATAAATAATATAAGTCTCTGTGTGTTTACTTGGGGGACGCAAATGGGAGAGATTTGTCCTGACTGTGGGCCAGGCAGGACCAGGAAAACTTCAGCTACAACTGTATCTCCTTGTCATCTGTCCTTCCCAGGGGGAGCCCCCTTTCATCACAGGATAAATGTGCCCAACAGAGTAAAGTCACAATTTGCAAGTCCTTTAATTTGTTGCCAGAAACAAGAGAGGGAGACTGGATTTGATTTCCATGAAATCAAGACACCTTTACTTGTGACGCCCTCTCCACATAGAATAGGCTGAACTGGCCTTTGTGGTAAGGGAGGCAGAGTGCCAGCCATGGTAGTCTAACATTGTGTTCCCTGTGCACATGGCACTAACTGAAATCTATTACACACTTTTATTTTGGGCTGATCTAATTCCCTCATTAGATCGAAAGAATGCTGAAGGTGGGAAGCAAGTGGACTCTAATTACCAGAAATTAGATGTTTAAAAGCAACCAGGTCTCTCTAGAAACTGACCATTTGATCCTTTGTCTGGGTCAATGTGAGTGTGATCTCTATTGTAAAGAGAGAATAAACTAAAAAGTACATGCATAAAATAATTCATTATATAAATGTATTAACATATACACTTGTTTAGAAAATGCAGCAGGGCCAGGCAGTGGTGGCACATGCCTTTAATCCCAGCACTTGGGAGGCAGATCCAGGCAGATCTCTATGAGTCCGAGGCCAGCCTGGTCTACAGAGCGAGATCCAGGACAGGCACAAAAACTGCACGGAGAAACCTTGTCTTGAAAAAAAAAAAAACCCAAACAAAAAAAGAAAACGCAGCAGGTCTAGGGATATGACTCATCGGGAGAACACTTGCCTATCATGTATGAGATCCAGGGTTCAATCCCTTTTGTACAAAACCCAAACAAAAGCCACTCTACACAGGCACATGAAAACACAGGGACACATAAAATCATGCGTGTTTAAACCAATCAAAACTACATCTTTGCCTCCCCAAGTCCTCTTTTGGTTGTCGTTCCTATCACTTATGTGTACCTTTGCTAGAACATGGTCTATGGGACTCATTACTATTTATGATAGTTATAGATGCGATTGTTCTGTGGTCTAACAGCGTAAGGACAATCCTGGGTGACCCGGGTTAACAGGGATTTCTTTACTGTGGAGTTTCTCAGAGTTTTTTTGACTACCCCAATATACTTTGTGATTCATCTATGAATTTATTTCACAATATTCCCCAATAGCCCTCTTTCCATGAAGTGACCATGGGGCAAGAGGTGTGTGAGAAACCTGATTTGAGAAATGCTGAATCAGACACATCTCTAACATCGGTCCCTTGAAGATCTCTAATTCTGTAAGATTCTGTGGAGTGTGGTTCCGAATTCCAGCGACCTTCAAGAATCACTAAGGAGCTTCAAACATGCCGACGTGGGAGTTCCTACACTAGCAGCAAAGTCAGGGCCTCTGAGGATGAATTGAAAATATATTACATGTTTTAGAGCTCCACACATCATAGGAGTTACAACTTGTTGCCAGCCTGGGGACTGCTGGCCAATCAATGTGAGCTCTTCTTACATAATCAGTGCCAATCAGTGTACTCCAAAGTCTCTGCCTTCCAATCCTATCAAACACCGACAGTATTATGATACCTCATTTTCAAATGTATAAAACAGAGACAGGCCTGATGGTTTATGCCCTTAAACCCATCGTTCTGGACACACATGCAAGCAGATCTCTGTGAGTTTGAGGCCAACCTGGTCTATAGAGCATGTCCCAAGTTAGCTAGGGCTGCGTAGTAAGACCAAGTCTTTAACTAGGCATGTGGCACACACCTTTAATCCCAGCACTCAGGAGGCAAAGGCAGGTGGATCTCTGTGCATTTCAGGCCAGCCTGATCAATATAGAGAGTTCTAGGACAGCCAGGGCTACATGGAGAGTACTTGTCTCAAAAACAATCAAAACAAACAAACAAAAAAGACCAAAGCAAAACATTTTAACAGGCTTCTGTGAAGTTCTACAGATAGTAAATAAGCCCCTGAAAAGATATGCAACATCTTCAATCATCAGGAAAATGAAAAATTTAAAAATCAATGCCACTACACACCTACTATGGCTAAGTTAGACCAAAGTCATGTTTATGGGACTAAAGCTTGGTGTCTTTAAAACAATAAATAAATAGAAATAAAGAATAAAGAAAAACAGATTTATAGACATCTGGGGGCCAAATCTTCAATGCGGGGGAGAGGTAAGATCAGAAGAGGCGCTAATGCAGATAGCTTTATTCAAGTGTCCATAGTAGCACAAGACCAGCCAGAGCAGTAAGGTAGCCTCAAAGCAGAAGAAAGTTTTAGGACAATCCTGGGGACAGTGGGAGCCAGTTCCATGAATAGGTGATGTTGCTCAGTAGCATGGCTGAGAGCATATGGGTCAACATCAAGTGGGCTTGTAGGGCTCACTGTCTTAGGACCACAGGGCCCTATCTGACTGCTGGACAGTGAGGGAGGTCTCCACAGATATGCAAAGCAGGTAGCCTCTAGATGGTAAACAGCTGCACGAACATGGAGAACGTTAGCACTGAAGGCCAGGCTTTTGACATACAAGGTCTCAGCTTGTGGGGAAGAAACAAGCAACCTAGGGACTTGATAGAGAAGGCTCATCTTTCGCGCCCATTTCTATAACAGACCTGCTTTGCAGAGTTGTTGAAAGGTTGGCAGTTATACGATGCTATGCCTAGACAGAGCAGGAAGTGGTCTAGTCAGAAAAGCCTGCAGGTTGACAGGGGACCTGAGACTAAGGTCATAAGTGGCTTGGGAGAAGTCCTTATCGGACCCTTTCATTACCTTCCAAAGTGCCAACAAGTGTTGACTGGCTGTCTCTTAGGTTCCAACTCCTGGAGTCTCATGTAGCCCTCGGATCATGTGGTGGTCCAAGTCATTTTGCTCTTGAAATGCTGAGCTAGCCCCCCAGCCTTCCCTAGTAGGTATGAGTTGGGAGAGACGGGCGGGCGTATGTGAGAAAGAGTGGGCATGTGCAGACATTCTGATCCAAAGCCTCTGGGAAGCAGAAGAGAGCCCATCCTTGTCTAGCTCGTTTATTCTCTGGGATGCTTTCCTCACCCACTGCAATCTTGTTGTCTGTACAACACCTACCTCACACAGCTCCAAGCATAAAAGGGACGGTGTAAGTAAAATGTTTGCTCTTTCACAAAAATGTTCCTTAGAGGGAATGATTACACCGTGTGGCAGCATTATAAATAAGAGACATATAAGAAATGATTAAACTAGAAAATACCTACTTAGTCACCATAGTAAAAATTTTTGCATCCACAGATGCTAAAATTAGAGAGTAAACACATGTTAGACAGGATGCATGTGTAGTCTCAAAGTATCTCCCCACAGGTGCTTATTAATTACAAAGGAAAACAATAATTACGATGGGAGAATTCACCAGATGTCACCTTGGTCCTGTGATCAAAAGCAGCATGTCAGCCACGTGGGCCTCCTGCTGTGATGCAGGAGGAAAACACAGGCTCACATTTGTAGAATTCTCAACTAAAAGACATCACCTTGGTTTAACTAGGAGGGAACCTTTGCAAATTCAGCTGGAAGGAGATAGAGTAACAGACCATGATTCTGCAAAGGTGTCAAGGTCCTGGGACAAAGGAGATGCTGAGGGTCTGTCCCTGGTTGGAGCAACTAGAGAAATAGCACCTTTACTGGTGATGTGGGATCCTGGCATGAATCAAGGGTCCAGAAGGGGGTGCGAGTCCTTCAGTTGGTAAAACTGCAATAAGAGCTCGGATTCTGTATCTCTCAAAGTCATCTTTCTGATTTTGAGACGGTTATGTAAGACGTTAATGTTCGAAGACAATGGTGAAGGGCAAGTACAACTTTATACTGTTTCCTCAACTTTTTATAAGCCTGCAAATTTTCAAAATGAAAAGATACAAATTAAAAGAAGAAGAAAGAAATGGTTTCCCTACTCTGGTGCTTAGAGATAACAGGATCAGTATTCAAGGAGAGTTCCCCTCTCCTAGATATTTTGTGATAGAAAAGGTGAGACGAGATCCAAGATGTACATTTTAATAAGCGTGTCCTAGGAGACTGTGCAATGTACCATCCGGTCCCCAAACTTTGTATGGAGGAGATACGAAAAGAATCAACAAAACAGACATAGAGGGTGTGAGAGAAGAGGAGGTGATGGGAAGGTATTGGGTGTTCCTGTAAACAGGCTTCAGAAAGTGTCTCTGACGAAGGGGAACGGGTTAGGGGAGAGGCAGCTGTGGGGTGGCATTGTTAGAGACAGCATATGGAAGACATTGAGAGGGCAGAAAGACTAGGAGATCAATAGATACACGCTGGCTTTGTATACATGAGTTCTTAGCATCTGCTGGTGAGACCAAGGTAGAGACTTCATAATTGTTTTTTGAATTTTTTTTCTCTGAATAGTGCTCTGTGCTGGGACTCCTCAGCAAGAGGCCTCTGCATTACTGATTACTTGCCTAAGGCAGTGATAAATCAAGGCAATTTGCAGGAGGAAGGGTTTATTCGGACTCAAAGTTCCAGAGAGATACGGCTCCATCACCGTCACAGTGGGGAATTGTGGTGATGGGCAAACATGAAGGCAGGACCAGCTAACTGAGAGCTCACATCTCCAGCCACAAGCAGGAAGCAGAGTGAACAGGAATTGATGCATAGCTTATAAAACTGCAACGCTCTCCTCCAGTGACACACTTTATCCCCCAGGCCATATCTCTTAAGCCTCCCCCAAATAGCACCATCAATTGAGGACTAAGTCTCCAAACACCCGAACCTCTGGAGGACACTTCCATCTCAGCTGTCACAGTCGCTTTAGCTGAGGTACAGTCTAGATACTGGGTTTAGTTTGGAAGATAGACTGAAAAACCGTTGATCTGGGAGCCATTTGCCATTATGATGGACAAGTAGCTTAAAAAATAACCAGAGAGGAAAGGGGCCCCGTAAACTCCAACATCTCATATAGTCCTCTATTGTTGAGCAGACAGTGAGCAGCAGCAGCTGACCCAGGAAGAGGGACTCCATGTTTCTCACGGGTCAGCTTCATCTGAAGGGTTCATATGTTTCTTCCTAATCATTGTCAAGATGGGAAGCCAGAAATGAATCTGAAAAATGGATGAATAGACACTGGAATCACTTCAGATGCCTCTGCTAGAAACTTTGAAAAACGTAGAAAATATCTTTCTGGGTCTTTCATTGCCTGTACCTATTTTCTAGCAGTGTGTGTGTGTGTGTGTGTGTGTGTGTGTGTGTGTGTGTGTGTGTGTGTGTGTGTGTGTGTGTTTGTGTGTGTGTCTGATAGCAGCTATGCAAGTGATCTCGTGCTTGAGATGAAATGAATTTCTCTCTGGAGACAAGAGATTCCTCCCATCCACCCTTGAAGAATGATCTAGTTGGCTTTGTTTGTTTGGTTGGTTTTGGTTTTGATCTTCAAGACAGGGTTCCTCTAGGTAGCCTTGGCTGTCCTGGAACTCACTCTGTAGACCAGGCTGGCCTCGAACTCAGAGAATCGTGTGCCTCTGCCTCTTGAGTGCTAGAATTAAAGGCGTGCACCACAACTGCCTGGCTTGGTTTGGCATTTGTAAAGCAACTTTCCTTTGTTGTCCTGATGACCTAATATGAGAGTTCTTCGAACTCTTCTTTTAACCAGTTGCAGTTTCTGACTTTTCTCCACTAATAAATAAGCCAAATAAAATCAGTAATGTGTAGAGGAGGCATATAGATACAGTGATGATAGATAGATAGATGGATAGATGGATGGATGGATGAATGGATGAATGGATAGACGGACAGACAGACAGATAGATAGATGATAGGTAGATAAATAGAAAGATAGATAGATAGATAGATAGATAGATAGATAGATGCTAGATAAAATCAGTAATGTGTAGAGGAGGCATATAGATACAGTGATGATAGATAGATGGATGGATGGATGGATGGATAGATAGATAGATAGATGGATGGATGGATGGATGGATGGACAGCCAGACAGGCAGATAGATAGATGATAGGTAGGTAGATAGATAGATAGATGGACAGATAGATAGATAGATGATAAAATCAGTAATGTGTAGAGGAGGCATATAGACACAAAGAGTTGGTAGATAGATAGATAGATAGATAGATAGATAGATAGATAGATAGATAGATAGATAGATAGATAGACAGAGAGATAGATAGATAGACAGAGAGATAGATAGACAGATAGACTTAGTAGAGAATGAGCAAATTCTTTAAAGTTTACTAAGTGGCAACTATTTCCTTCCATGTTTTTACTTTATCTTTGGTGTAAAAAGGTAAAAATTAGCCATTGTTCCACAGTAGCCAATACAAAAGATCTTCCCAACAGCCAACTACAAAATACTTGATTCAATAGTTTCCCCCAATCATATTGTAGTTGGCCTCCTAACGTGAAGTTGTAGAATGCTTTGAAATCCACTATCATTTGCCCTTCAGAAACAGCATTAGCTTAGAGGCATACCTCCCCCTTGACCTTACCTTCTTAAAGTACAGACTCAGTTTCCTTTCAGCTTCTCCCGGTGGCGGCTTTGATCTTTTCTTAAGGAGCTTTGCATGGAGGTATTGGATTCGCTCCCTCTCCACTCCAGGGTAGAAGGATCCTGACACCAGAATTTTAAGCTGCATCAGCATGGAAGACAACAGTCCTAGGACTATTAGTGTTACAAGAATAATGCTGAGAGGAACCCAAGTCTCAGACACACTGAGCCGTGGTTTAGGGATGCAGCTGGCTTCAAACATAGATATATTAAAGGAAGAATCATGGATGATGTCTTGAGTTCCTTGCCTCTAAAAAGAAAGAGTAAAATAATCAGTAGATATGCCGTCTTCTGTCTCCGTCTTTCTACTTCCATGCAACACACTATTTTTCTGCAAATATTCAGGGAGCTTTGTCTAAAGTGGCTGTCTGTCAAATCTTCTTGGAAGCGTCATGACTGGAACAGAGGAGAAAGGATAACTTTTATCTATAAAGGTGACAGTGTTTTCCAAAGTGGATTTGTGGAGTGAATCTGTGAAACAGAGTGTCTGCTCTGTCGCTTCTGGTGAGCCACATGGCCATGGAAATGTCAGGTTCTTGGAAGGCAGAGAACCATGTTTAACAAACATAACCACACACCCGTTTTTTAATGGAATACTTGGTCCTTTACTTAGGGCACACCGAGGTGATGAAAGATGAGGAGTCAGCTCAAGTGGAAGAGAGGATTGGTTGGTTATCCAGCCATTCAAGCCCCAGGCATAGCCTCCAGTTAAGGACAAATTACCCTTCCTCAGAACACAAAGTTAAAAGATGTTCACTGAGTCAGAGTGTCAATCGATCTTTTGGAGTTCAGGGACTTATTCTTCTTTAGACTCTGATGTCCCCCTTTAGGGTAACATGTTAACCCACATCACTGAGGGAGACCAAAAGTCTTGTTGGAGGGGATTTTTAAAACAGGGCATTTTCTGGTGTCTCTGGGTGTTCAGAAGGGGCTTGAAGGATAAAGAACAAGCCAACTGTTCAGCTGATGACACAGAAGACAGAGGGTGACATTGAGCCACCCAGCTCAGCCACCCGAGTGGAGAGTGCATGCTGATTCAGCTCTTTTCTCCTCTGACCTGGGAAAGTCATTTAATCTCTCGGTGGATTTGTTTTCTAATTTGGTAGAGCAGGAATTAATGGACCAGATCCTGCCCATGAATAAACTACTCCCAGTATAAATTAAACACCTTGGGGATGAGGCATTAACCTTACAGACTGGAATACTTAGTAAGTTATTATCACCCTTGTGCTACAGAGCCCTGGGGCCAAGCAGAAGTAAATGACCTCTCATAAAAAAATAAATAAAAATAAAAAAACAACCACACCCCGAGAACATCTTACATCTCAGACCTACCACCAAAGCTGGGCCCTCTGTATAAATGCCAAGTCACATTTGTGCCTAAGCAGTGAGAAGCATTTGGGGAGCCTCTCTTCTGCCTTTATTAAAAAGCCAGCCAGTCTACAATGAAATGGAGATTGTGGTCCCTGGAGCAGCAGCATGCACTCTTTTTAATACGATGGGAGAAACAAACACATCGATTGAGTCAGTGCTGAGCAACCGGCAATAAGAAAGCAGCGGGGGTTCGGTCTGGGCAGGAGCTATTTAGTCTAGAAATCGAGCTGGGGATTTGCAATTGGGAGTCGGAGCTTCAGAAAGATTGAGTCAACATTTGTGTATGGGCTTGGTTCAGGGCAGTGTGGAAGACACATTCGCTCTTTCAAAATGCCAAGCAATATCCGAAATGAGACCCTGATGATTTAAAATGTGTTTACTTCCCTTAAGTAAACAATTTGCTGAGATGGTGTTGCTGTGTGATGGATGCAAGTCAAGCTCTGCTATCGGATTGTCCTGGAAAGTTAATGGAGTCCAGAACCTGGCCCATGGGATGTGTTCACTAAATAGGAACTCGGGCTATTATTACTTATACTGCCCATCCATCCCAGCTCGTCGGATCATTTCCCACATTCTTTATTTAAAACATTTGTCTAAAATTGTGTGATAGTGGAAGAGAAAAACTGGCAAAACCTTGTACCAATGTTTCTCTTCCTGTCTGATTTCTCTTTCACAAATCTGCAGCAACAGAGCAGGCGAGGAGCCTTCAAGGGCATCCTGGGATAAGAGCAGGGCATTGCCAGTCATTCGAAGGGAGGCTAGCTCTTGGCACAGTCTCCCAGGGATAGCAGAAAAAAACTCAGGAGATGTCACAGAAACCTTGCACTCATATCTGACCAGCCCCACCACTCAGCTGCTGTTATGTGTGTACACAATGGCCTCTTCCACTGGCATAGGAGCTCTGCAGTAGAACTATCATGGTCTAGACATTATGTATGTCCCTGGTACTTGACAGGGTACACACACACACACACACACACACACACACACACACACACACTCCAGTCTAAACCAGTGAGAATTCGCAGAACAGGCATGGATGTTCGGCATTGACTGAGAGAGAAATACCCAAGAGAAGCAGCAGAGGACGGGGGCAGTGGGGGGGATGCTATAGGGGGAGTGAGGTGGAGAGGCCTTTGGCTTCTAGGCTTCTTATTTGGTTTCATCTGAAGCGTGTCTTCCATTATCGGCCTGTTCCAAATATCTAGAGCAGCAGAGAACCTTATAATTGAGTGAATTCTTCAGGGGCAGCAGAGAGCTCAGAGTAATCAACTCTAAGAAGCAGCTCAGGAGGTGCAGGGCGAGAGCCCTGAAACTGTGTGCACTGAACCAGCAGAGAGGGAAGAGGCACGTGGCTGGGGCAGGGGGATGTGAGGCACCCAGAAGCAGAGGAAGGGAGAAGAGGGTTCAGGGTGGCCCTTCTCCCAGCATCTTGACAAAGAGGGGACAAAACAGACATGTGGAGACAGTATACACAGTATACTTAACCCCGGCATGCATCCCAACCTCCCCCCGCCCTCTCTCTTTCTCTCTCTCTCTCTCTCTCTTTCTCTCTCATACACTACACCTGGTTCAACTCCATAATTTCAAATGTTAAAAAACATTTTCCAGATCCTCTGAAATGTTAGCATAATCACACATCCATAGGGAAAAAAATGGGAAAGAAAAAAGAAAAGAAATGATGTAACCCTAGTCTTCTCTACTGGCTCATGGCTGCCAAGAGAAGAGAGAGGAATTCAGGAAAAGCCAGACCCCTCACAAAACAGGGGCACCAGGTCCAAGAAAGACTCTCACAGAAGCCAGGATGTGGTGGTGCACATCTTTAATCCCAGATCACTGTGAGTTTGAAGCCAGCCTGGTCTACAGAGTGAGTTCTGGGAAAACCAGGGCTGCTACACAGAAAAACCATGTCAGAAAAAGAAAGAAAGAGAGAGAGAGAGAGAGAGAGAGAGAGAGAGAGAGAGAGAGAGAGAGAGAGAAAGAGAGAGAGAGAGAAAGGAGGGAAAGAAGGAAGGAAGGAAGGAAGGAAGGAAGGAAGGAAGGAAGGAAGGAAGGAAGGAAGGAAGGAAAGACAATTTCTTGCAGAAGCTTCTGGTAGGTATCAAGTTTGGGACTCTGGCTTTGTTCCTCAGGCGGTGGAATTAGAAAGGGGATCTCAGTCTTGACTGCACACTAGAGTTACTTGAGATGGGGCTGGGAGAAAAACCCACTTTAATCTAAGTAAAGTGGATTCTGGAAAGGAGGATGCAGTTCCTTGTCTCTTCAATCCCGCCATGACACTACTCTTCACCCCAGGTTTAGAAGGTCTTGCTCTTTAGACCCTATGTCCGACTTTCCCAGTGTGTGGGCTGTAGCTCACCTACTCTAAGATCACAAGGAGTGTTTGCAGAAATGCTCTCCCATTCAAAATGAAACACTATTAAAAGAGACCTGAAACTGTGTGTCTACCCATAGAAATTCTACACACACACACACACACACACACACACACACACACACGCACGCACGCACGCACATACACATTCACACATGCACACACACACACAGAGTCACTGACGGAACTTATGTTAAAAATAAAAGTTAGGTGTACATGAGCAGCATTTTAAGCCAGTTTTGGGGTTCCCCAACACCCCACTCCTGAGGTAGAAGCCCTTTTCTTTTGACAAAGACTCAGACTGCATGAGAAAGTTCTCCATCAAAAGAGTTTGAAGTCTGTCTGCTCCAGTCTTTGCAGTGGGAGAAGTCGAGCCTCCAACCTCCCTCTTAAGTTCATTTATACCCCTTGAGACTCAAACAAAGGGAAATTAAAGTTTAAAACCAGAGACAAATCTGTTCCTACCCTCTAGGCTATGCTGAGTGCAAGTTCCCCAAAGATAAAATGTCCTAGCTCTGGGAGCCTGTGATACTCCGGGAGCCCGTGATACTCCAGGAGCCCGTGATACTCCAGAAGTCGTGATACTCCAGAAGTCGTGATACTCCGGGAGCCTGAGATGATAATCCGGGTGCCTGTGATACTCTGTCTGGGAAATAGATTTCAGCAGTGAGATTAAGTCAGCTGGCTCAAGATGGAGAAATTGTCTGGATGCACCATCATGTGACCATGTACCTGGTTTGAGAGGGACATAGCGATTTTTTCCCACGCACAGAGAGATGTGTGTGATGGCACCACAGGCCAAGGAACGCCACTGGCCAAGTAAAATTGGATGAGGCAGAGTGAATTTTCCCAACTTTCTGAAAGGAGGATGTCTATGCCAACAGAACTTGGACTTCAGCCTAGCAAGACTGATTTTAGACTTCTCACTGTCAAACTAAAAGAGAATAAATGTATGCTGTTTTAAGATGCCAAGCCTGTGATCATTTGCTATAGTAGCCGGAGAAAAATAACATAGAATTCTATTCTAACACAGGGACCTAATTTAGCCTATACCTATTGGGCTCCTGTGAGCCAGGCACCCATGTGATCTGAGGGCACTGATTGACATGGAGGCCCACCGATAAAAAGCCCCAGGACACCACAAGAAGTGCCTGTGAACCCCTACCTCTCCATGCAGTTTCAAGTGAACTTCAAGCCCTGGCAAGCTTTGGAACTGCTTGCTCACGGAGGAAATGAGTCGGTACAGCAGATAATCCACAGCTGCGAACAGCACCCACATGTAGAGATGGGTCAGGATGGGAAGGAAAAACAGCCCCAGTTTTTTCCTGTCTTTGGGAGTCAGCTGCAGAGATGGGATGATGATGTAGTTCTTCCTTTCCTTCTTGTTCAGAGGGAGGACACAGGGCCCCTGTTGGTTCCTCTCCTTTTCATCAAACTGAACAAATTGTCTGGTGATATAGACGTTCTCGTACTTCCAGCCACAAGGGCCCAGGAATCGTTTCATGAAGAGGCCAGTGCTGACTAGAATGAGCAGAAGCCCGGTGAGGGCAAGAAGCTTCTGGCCCAAGGAAGACAGAAGCTCTGTCGTGGCTACCATATGGGACAGGGCACCCAGGACTTCTCCTTTAGTGTCATTGATATGAGCCTCCAGGGTACGGCTGGGACTGAAAAGGGAGACCACTAGAGTCTGGTTCCAAGAAACGAGGTCATCAAACAGATTCAGCGGAGTGGCGAGGCCATAAATCCACCGAAGGGCTTCACTATATCGTGTTAAAAGTGGAAAATGTATTGAAAAGCTCTTCGCCCTGAGGTTGCAAGTCATGCCGTCCAGGAGACCTCTGAAGTTATGAAACATATTTTCCACGTGTCCGAAGATCACTACCCCGGTGCCTGCCGCAATCAAAGCGTTTCTGCCTTCGCGGAGGCCGCAGGAGAGAAAGGCCAGAAGAATGAAACACCGCGCATGCTTAGAACAGCACAGAAAAATAGAGAGGATCGTCCAGACGGTAGAGAGCCCGGCGACTGAGGCGACTGGTGGGAGGACCCAGTAGCAGGCTGCTGACAGGAGGCTCACTGAGAGGAAAGCCACAAAGCAGCAAACTCCCAGATGCTGGATAAAGTCCAGCCAGCCAGTACTTCCTGGAAACACATATATCCCCCAAAACCTTAGGAAGATACTAGTGCCCCAGGTCCAGAGCCTCATACTCCCTGTGTCCCTAGAAATAAAAAAGAGACCAGGTTCAGAAATTGCTTAGAGGTCAGAGAGCAGACTATCTGTAAATACATGTCATTTCTCTACCCCTCCATTTGTCTGCTCCTTCCTAGTGGACTCCCACCAGGAAGTGGGAGGTGCTGGCACACGCCTTTAATCCCAGCACTCGAGAAGCGGGAGTAGGTAGATCTCTGAGTTTGAGGCCAGCCTGGTCTACAGAGCAAGCTCCAGGAGAGCCAGGACCGCACAGAGAAACCCTGCCTCAAGAAAACCAAAACAACAGCTGGAGAGTGAGGTGTTTCTGCATCCTTTGGCTCAGGCTGGCCTCGTGATTGCTTTAACCAATTAAAGGCCGGGTGACACCTTTGGGCCTGTGACTCACATCTTCATACTCTATTCTAGCCCTGCCCTCTGCTGAATTGTAGTAGTTAGTGTCCTCTTGACGTGTTAACAAATACCACAAACTCACCAGATCGAAGAAACACCTGTTTTTTCTCTTGGAACTCCCCCAGGAGGTCAGTAGTCTAAGATGGGTTTGTGATCCATCGGAGGGTCCCGAGCATTGAGTTACTTCCCCGTGCCAGCTCCCGGAGGGACCTGCGTTCTCTGGGTCACAGCCCCTCCCTCCTCCATCTCAAAGCCAGCCAGGTTGATTTTTCCCTTTTCTCTGGCCCCCACTTCCATCTTTACCACTTCTCTCTAACTCTGATCTTTCTGCATTGTGTTTCAAAGGAACTTTGTGACATTTTAGGGCCACCCACCCAGATAATCTAGACTAACATTCCCTCTCAAGACCTTTAACTTAAGTGCATCTGCAGGGTCCCTTTGACCATGTAAGGTGGCATATTCAGGTTCTAGGCATTGGGGCACAGACAGCTTAGGAAAATGTTGTTTAGCCTGTCACATCAGGTTCTAGACACGAGCAACATCTTGTCCTGATGCTTCTCTCAACTGAACAAAAGGCCGGGCAATTGTCAAATACGTAAGACAGCCCCCCCACCCACCCTTGCAGCCAGACTTCCAGCTGGTCACATACACTTGAAAAATAATAAATGCTGTTTTGTTTGGCTTTCTCCCCACCAAATTTTGTCCTGGTCTGCTTGACTGTAATTGTTCATTGACAAGAACAATGGTCCTGTGTCGTGGGTTCTAAGAGTTGACGGATGGGCTGCAACGCCAATAAAGTGCATTATGCAAGAGCATCTTTAATACTCATCTATTTTCTGTGCTCTCATTTTACAGACCAGAAAGCGTACCAAGGGCATCCAGACTTGAGTGTGGAGTTGGACTGGTGCCTCAGCGCCGCGCTTCCTCTTCTGCCATCCCTGCCTCATGAGTACAGGTCCCTCTGGAGACTATTCAGGGAAACTAAGAATATTCTTGTCCCTAAATTAATCATCTTTTCCAGATCTGGGATAATTAAAATTAAGGTGTTATAAGGCTGATTCTACTCTGCTCGATACGCATATTTAGGTCTGTGATGTACTTACAATGAGTTGGGCTCGTTTGGACTGATATAAATAAATTTGAGGTTTTCCTCTCTCAACTGACATAAAAATATCTAATGAACATTGTACCATATGTATAAGATTTAATGGGGACACTGAGAAGCCTTTAAACACTCTCAAATATATTTGATTTCATACAAATATGGAATAGGATTTATGGTGCAGCTTGACACTGAGAACCCATGCATTCGTTGCACTGGGTGTGGAAATGATGAACGTAGGTGGTGGCTATGGGGCATGAAATGAGCAACCAGAGGTGAAAATCTGACTCTTTTTCTGTGTTCAGGCTGAATGAGGCTAACAAAAGGCAGAATCAAGATGGAGGAAACAGGCACCTTAGTAATAAGCACATGTAAATTTCCAGTGCATGACACAGAGAGCTTGCGGGTGTCATTCTGAATGGATATTAGCAGAAAAGAGATGCGGAGAAAACTCTCAAGTTGAAGAAAGGCTGTGTCTATTGCTTTTGTTCAATGCTGCAACAAAATTCCTTGAGAGAAAATCTTGGTAGGCTATTTAAGGGTGGGCATTCAGAGGCTTCAGTCCAACTTGTTTGACCCAGGATGTTGGGCAGAACATCCAGACACCAGGAAGGCCTTGCAGAGGGCAGTTGTTACATGCAGACAGAAAGTAGAGTGAGACAGGAAGTGAGCAGGGATAATGTACCCCTAAGAACTTCCCCCCAGTGGCCTACCTCCTTAAGCTCAGCCCCACCCCTTAAGTGTCCATAGCCTCCCAAAACAGTGTCACCATCTGGAGACCAAGCATTCAAGTCAAGAGCCTACGCGGGAACATCACGTGCTCACTCCCGTAACAAGGGTCATTGCCACCTGGACTAGCTTCACAGAGATCAGGGTCCTAAACATGTGGAGGCGGGAAGACGGCCCAGATAAGGGCACTGGCTTTGTAAGCCTGGTGTTTTGATTAGTTTTTGTCAGCTTGACACAGGCTAGCATCACTGGAGAAGAGAGGACCTCAGCCGAGAAAATGTCCCCATCAGATTGGCCCGTGGGCAATCCTGTGGAGCATTTTTTTATTTTTGACAATAGACATGGGTAGACCTATTCCATGGGAGGGGGTGGTGCCAACCCTGGATGGTAGTCCTGAGTTATATAAGAAGAAAGCAGGCTGAGCAAGCCATAGGAGAAAGCTGGGAAACAGTACTCCTCCATGGTCTCTGTTAGAATTCTGCCCTTACTCCAGCTACACATGCGCAGTTCAGGGTATTGCGTCTTACATCATCAGTGTGTGCTGGCTACTACGTGCATGTGGCGTGGTCATGCAATCAGCGCACAGGTGGTGTAGCTCCGTCGGGGGAGCCCTTAAAAAGCCAGATGCAGACCCCACCCTCTCTCTGCTCTCTCTCTCCCCTCCCCCATCTTTCTCTCTTGCCCAGACCTGGTCCTTTTGTCCCTCCCCCGTTCCTCCTAATAAAACTCTCTACTACTAAGTATCCGGGTTCTGTCATGACCTTTCCACCGGTAACCAGCGCCACCACCAGCACCATTTATCATTCATTTCAGTCTCTGCTTCAGTTCCTGCCCTGATTTCTCTTTATGATGAACCATATAAGCTGCAATAAGCCTTTTCCTCCCCAAGTTGCTTTTGGTCATGGTGTTTTGTCACAGTAATAGAAAACCTAACTAAGACATATGGCTACCTGAGTTTTGCTACATGGAACCTACATAAAAATGGAAGGACAGAGCAAACGCCACGGATTTGTCCCATAATTTCTACATAGCAATACATAGTAAATACACCCCACTCCCTCCCCACTAATACAATAAAGTAAAAATATTTCTTAATAAAGACTCCCCACAGGAGGCTGTTCTAATTTCATCAGGGGAAAGGGAATTAGAAAGGAGCTTAGGGTGGGACCATGAAGAACCATCATTCTTGACTCCTGCAAACTTGTGTCGTTTCAGACTCAAGTCAGATGGAAGGTGATCAGTGTTTGCACACGGCCAATATCATCAATGGGTCTGTGCTCCGGACACTTCCCTGCTGGCCCTACGCAGGAGAGCTTGGTGGACACTGGACAGTGAGCAGAACATCCACCCCGGAGCAGGTCAGGAGCTGTGTCTCTCTCCTCAGACATGGCCCCTAGCACTTTCCTTGCCGTTAATTTTAGAATAACAGCAGAACTTTTGGATTCGATCCCATGCTGTTATTTGACTGATTGGCATGTAGAAAAGTACTAATTGTCTATTACATCAAGGGCACTTTGCAGGAAGCCTCCACATCCCCTACCTCAAACGCACTTTGCCTTTTACATAGAGGAAGCGGAAGTTGTGAGCCTTTACTGAAACTTGCCGGCCAGCACGCAGAGTGGCTGGTGGAGTGGAATTCAAAGCGTTGTAGCCATCACCTCTGCGTCCTGCCTAGCTCTCACAAGTCTGGGTTAGGGGACGGGGCACTCAGCTGTCCAAGCTTGTTCCTACTGGAAACATGTCACACACATTGCCCGTGACTACTCAAGAGCTGAACCAAGTATCACAATCCCATCTCCACTATCTACTCATTCATTTTTCTCTTCTTCATCAAAACAGTTGACCCTGTGAGGTTAAGATGTCTCCAACCAGCAGATTTGTCTTTAACCTAATTAGAACACCCAGTTTCATTTTTTTCCTAATTTCCTCTATGAGGGCCCAATTTTTCTCGTCTGCTGAAATATTAATAATGTATATTGTAGGCTCATTTCTTCCTTCTCTTGCTCTTATCCTCGTACAGCATGTTCTTAATACAGACAATCCTCCACAAGTATGAAACAGATTTATAGACACATTAAAATTTTAGTATTCTACAATAAAATCTAATATCAATTAAACGAGATCTATGGCTGTAATTTCATCCCGTAAGAGGCCCGTGTTTACTCAACAAGCGACAGCTCCACCCTCATCCTTCTTGTCTTTGTGCTGAGAACAGAATGTTACCAAAGACACCAAGCCTTAGGGAGGAAGACTGGAGGTATTCTCCTAGTCCACAAGGGACAAAGCTGAGCCCGACCTTGAACCTCCCCTTCTCTTACCCTCATGGGGCTTAGATTTCTTCCCTGCCCTTGGCTTATCATTTTTCCTAATGTAGATGACCTGATCCTTCTTGTTGAAGCTTGGGGAGAGAAACTTCTCCCAAAACCTGGACATTCCCTGGAAAATGATGTGTCCCATCAACACAACACATTTCCAGATCGTCGTGTGCTTCCATAGAAAACTGAGACTTTCTATGTTCTGGTCTAGGCAAAGCTTGAATGCTCAACTTCATGGGAGGCTGAGTGGCAAGATGGCCGCACCATTTACCTGGCACTAGGATGTTGCATTATACAGTAGACTTTGACGATCTCTTCTTGCTTCACTGTGGGCCCCACCATCCTGCTAGTCTTTCTTCAGGTACTCTGATTCTCTCCTTTCCTAGGACCAGTAAAGTCCAAAGTCTGACAAGCTATTTGCTTGTTTCTTTCTCAGAGACTTGGAGTCAAAATTTCCTGCATGCATGTCATGATCAGCCAGGGACACCATAATGAAATGCCTTAGAAAGAAGCGGGAGACAATTCTTTTTCACAGTTTTGGAGACTGGAAGACCCTGTTCAAGGTCTCACAGGACCAAACTCTGGTGAAGGCTTTCTTCCTGGTATGCAGGTGGCTGATGTCTCTCTGTGTGTCCTCACACAGCAGAGATGGGAGAGAAATCTCTGGCTTCTCCTCCTCTTTCTATACCTCCTCGTCTTCTCCTTTTTATTCTTCCACAGTTTATTATCTTTAATCAAATGTGAAGACTCACCCTCTCTTCAGCAATGGCAAGCTTTCCCTCTTCTTCTGAGGGCATCAGTCATATTGGGTGAGAGCAGTACCTGTAGACCGTATTAACCTAAACTTCCTTAGAGAGCGCTTTTCCTCACGCAGCCGCACTGCGTGCACTGGGCTCAATCCCCAGAACCTTTCTTTGGGGGACAGCTGACTTTAAAAGATGTTGGCTCTGTCTGGTGGGTTTTGGGCTCAGCTGTTACTTTGCACTTGACCTTCCTGAAGCTCATCGCTTCCTCCAGTCTCACCGCCCCCTCCCCACCTTAGCTCACTCCCCAGCCTCGCCCTGGGGTCACTCTCCTTCCTCTTTCATTCCTTGGCATAGTTTGAGTGTGCTGTAAGCGGGTGTTTATTTGAGCTCCGTTTGCTTCCCTTCCTTGGTGTTTACAGGACTGAGTCCCTTCATCCTCTACGCCATCTCTTTTGGCAGCTTCTAAAAGCCTACTTGATCCCTTTAACCTATCATTTTGCTTCCATTATCAATAATGCTGATTGCCTGACTCAACAGCCTTGTCTCTCCAACAAAAAGAGCCTGCTTCTCGCTTTTACAGCAGCAATTTCCCAAGAGCAATCACCGCTTCCTTGCTGTTATCTCTGGCCTATAGTTTGCATCGTGCCCCAAGCAAGCAAACCTTAGCTAGAGTGAACAGCAGAGCACCA